GCTTCATGAAGGACTGGGCTACTTTATGATAATGTAGACGCGGTGAAGACTCGCTGATCAAGAGCATACTGCAGCACAACAGAGTATCTATTGCCGATGACATTTATTTAGTAGTGTCTGGACGTCACACATTTAAAAAGTTAGTTGCTTATCCTTTCCAGGGCGTTGCAGAACCCACCACAGCGGCTTTTTATTTTTTTAGCTTTTTGTGTAACGTTTAGTAGTTTGCCATTGCTACTAAATGGTCAGCTCTCGGTATACCACTGTCGAAACTAACAAAAGACGAATCGTCCTTAGAGGGGATTGAACTCGGCACCCTGATTTTACAAAGTGCGTTCGCAACGCCTAAGCCACAGACGACGACTGTCACACAGTGCACAGGAAAGATAAGACAGGCATATTTTTAATCAGGCTGTAACTGACACCGTCGTATAAGTTGACTACTAAAGAAAGAGACAGGATAGACTTGGTAATGCTCCAAGCGTAGTGATGTCAATTCTTCATTCATTCGTTAGAGAGAGAGAGAGAGAGAGAGAGAGAGAGAGAGAGAGAGAAGAGAGAGAGAGAGAGAGATAGAGAGAGAGAGTGAGAGAAACAGACAGGAAGTGTTAGAGATTCACTGTAGCCAGCATTAATTGTAGAGACAGTTGATTACTTGGTTGTAAGTGATGCTTCTTCTCGTCAATTTCTTTAATTTCGAGCAGCACAATCCTACCACTGCATTCTCTCGCATTCCATTTGAAGGACATTTTTTTTCTCTCTGCTTATAGGGTCTATTTTTACCAACGTTGAGAAGATGTGTTACAGTGCATCTTTCTATAGTGCTGTCAAAAGCCTACTTTGCCCTAACATTTTCTTTTTCTCCTCCTGTTCTTTACACCCTCCCTCCCTCCCCCAATTAAAAAAGCCCTCATCCTTTCCTTTGACATACCATGTTGCTCCCCCTACAATACACTTCTTTTTATCAAATTATCCTACCTTCATGAGTTTGGTCTACCTTTACACCTTTGACCCAGTGCATTCCAGTGCAAGAACATTCTAGTTATGCTCTTATCAGGTTTTCTTCTTGTGTATCCTATCCAAAGCCAGCAGGTCTTCATCACCTCTTGATTTACTGGAATTTATTTTTCACAAAGCTCCACTTAGTGCTTCAGTCATATCATTTGATTCCTTGTACTCTGTATGAAGTCATTAGTCTAGGTTCCATCACCGTAACTGGGTTACCCCAGAACCATTCCATTTTGGTGCCAGGGGAAATCATATAAAATGTCCTTCACCATCCTATTTGAAAACACACCATTTTCTGAATATAATCAGCCTTTTTAGTGCAGTCAACAACAGGGTGCAAGTGCACAAGAAAAGACACATTCCACATGAAATTCACAGCTCACAGTGTCACACCAAGAACTCAGCTCAGTAGCAGGTGATCGAACCTTTGGACTCCAGTCCAGAAATTTGCATAAGCAAATCCTAGCTGGAAACAGCTAACTTTTCAGCGCTGTATTCTGTGCAGAAAGTAGTTAACGAATGTTAGCAATTATTTTAGATTATCAGTAATTATTTTAGTTGTTTTCCGTGCTTTAGGTCTACACTGCAATACTGATTTGACATTTTAAGTAAATATTCTATGTTTGGTACGAGTTCTAATTTCTGATGACTTCCAGATTTCCCAATGCTAGGAAAGCTCCTCTTGCCTTTGGTATTCATTCGTTATATCTCTATGCTCCTATCTTTATCTATATCACAACTAGTTAGTGTAGGACTCTTGGAGTGGGGTTCTGACTAGGTTATTGTTTTTTTTCCTCACATGTCTTTTCCTGATAGACATTTAGACCTACTTGTTGTTATGTCCCATCAAGTATGTCTAACTGACATTGCATCAAATTTTGGGATATGACAGAAATGTTGTTATCAAGTCAACATCATTCATTTGTTCTGCCAGGGTCCAGTAAATTACATTCTGGTGCTAGTTGTTGCTATCTTCATAATGTATTAGATTTGTTCATCGCTTATTAGTTTTTGGGTCTGTTGTGTTTTACAGGATGAAGTAGTCAAACCTTAAGCTCATTACCGCACTTGTTCCTATACTTCCAAGAGATAGATTTGTATAGAAGCTAGTTATCATAAGTGGAAAGTATTAAGCCTTTTCCTATGCTAAGAACAGGCTGCCAATATCTCAGTACTGTACAGTAAAAAAAAAAAAAAAATAGTTGCATATCCGCCAGGCATTTTTTGGCTGTTTGGTTTTACTAGTCAAATTTCTTCTTTATGTTCACCAGTGTAGACTCTGGCAGAAATCTCTGCTTGTTTATCCACTTCTGGACTTTAGTTGTGGTCCAGAACTTCAGGTTTGCATGCGGACCTGTTTTATAATGTCTTATTTGTACGCAGACTGCTGGTTCCTTGCCTTTCAGACAGATGCACTCCAACTTTAAAGGAAACACTTCTAATTAGTCGGACTTAACAAAATGCTTGTGGGGGGGGGAAAGGGTGGGGGGTTATTCTTGTTTCCCCCACATACAATAGGATCCCGGAACCCACAAGGGAAAGAAAAATATTACAGTCAGTAGTTTGCCATTATTTCTGATTGGTTAGCTCTCATACAAGGGTCAAAATCAACATTACAAAAAAAAAAAAAAAAAAAATCTGCAGCTGAAATTTGACCACATATCCACAAATTACAAAGCTTGTTTGCAGCATCCATGCCACAGATGCAGAAGCACAGACTGTACAGTAAAGACTTCAAAATACAAGAAGCTTGCATCATAGATTTATTTCCAACCATTTTTTTTTTAGTTTCTGAATATTTATTCAGTAAGATGCACACAAATGCATGCAGCTTTGCTACAAGTTATTTATCAATATGTATTAGTCTTAAGTAAAAACTGTCCAAATGTTGCAATATTTAATATTTTTAGTATACATAACATTACGTTATAACAGTACCAATAATTCAAAGCATTTCAAGGCAGGCATTGTCATAAAGGGTAACATACATTTTAATGTGGTCCTGGGCATTCCACAAATACATCTTAACAAAACAGTTAAAAGTTAGTTGTGTATCCTTTACAGGACATTGCAGAACCAATCCCACCAATTTTTAGCTGTTGTTGGTTTTTCTAGGCAAATTTTACGGTCAGCTCTCGGTTCCACTCTTGAAACCAACACAAGACAAATCGCCAGCAGCTGTGTTAAAAACCGGCACCTTATGAAGAGCGCTCATAGCGCTTAAGCCACAGACAAAGATGAATAAAACAAAGATTAAATTCAGGATCAAATTACTGATAGGCACATTTGAAAGGTAAAAGGCAGCCAGGATCATTTGAATAATAGGCCATGACAATGATAGTCATATCCCTCTATAACTGAATTTCTCATGTTCTTTATTAAGTTCAATCACTGGCTGATCTTTGTGCCACCTGACAACACATCCAGCTCATTTGTCCTGTCATTCTCAGCCTGTCTCAGTCTCTTCAATTTCAAACGACATACCTGTTTTTGTACCCCTTTCATAATAAAGTAAATTTAATTGCGTGTTTTTTGCAGAATATTGCAGAACCAATCCTATAAATTTTTTTCCTGTCAATTTACTTAGCAATTTTACTTTCAGTAATTTCCACCTGCCTTCTAAATGGTCAGTTTTCAACATCACTGTCAAAACCAATGCAAGCGATCTGCTGCCAAAATCGCCTGTAGTTAGGATCAATATAACATAGTGACTCTTTGACCACTAGACTAAAAAAAGGTCATTCAAACACATTCCCTCTCATAAAAGACTTACCCATTATCGCAACTATAACACTTTTTTTTTATTATTCAGAACATAAACAACATAGAAAAATTCATTTTAAACCTTTAAATTATCTTCACATCAGATAACAGAAACATATCCCCCAAACCAATTTGTTATATTTATAGCTTTGTCTTCTTCTTAGTGTTCACGGGCTGCAAACTAAATCAGAAAGTTCTGGTTGTTCATCCACTTCTAGTCTTTAGTCTTGTTCCAGGACTTGAGTTTTGTGTGCACATCCATTTTACAAATCTGGTTAATTTATATGGACACTGCTGGTTCCTCAACTCTCAGGTAGGTGTACTGTGACTTCCTAATTAGTCTAGTTTTACAACATGCTTGCTAGGGGGCATCAGATTGATTCTCTATCCACACACATGGATTCTCTACCCACACACATGTATTCTCTATCACACACACATGGATTCTCTACCCACATATGGATTCTCTACCCACACACATGTATTCTCTATCACACACACATGGATTCTCTACCCACATATGGATTCTCTACCCACACACATGGATTCTCTATCACACACACATGTATTCTCTACCCACATATGGATTCTCTACACACACACATGTATTCTCTACCCACATATGGATTCTCTACACACACACATGTATTCTCTACCCACATATGGATTCTCTACACACACAATGGGACCCCGGAACCCACACAGGGATTATGTTTGTATAAACTATGGTATTCTTCTGTGACAATGACTTTTGAAAGTAAATTTTCACCATTTCTACAACCATAATATTGTTTCTGCCCTTTACCCTCAATGGAGCACGGGCCCTCAACCAACTCACACCAAGTCATTTTATCCTCTGCATGCAGCTTTACCCACCCATGTCTTCCCCATCTTCTTGACTTCACTCTTTAGTTTCCTTCTCCGGTTTTTTTTTGTTGGGGGGGGGGGGGGGGGGGGGGGGGGGGGATACTTTTATTTGTCTCATTGTGTGTGCTGTCCAATACCAGCATCTTTTCCTCATCTCTTGATTGACTGGAACTTTTTTAGTTCTCTTCCAAAGCTCTACATTAGTGATTTTATCATATCGTTCAACTTCCTCTATTCCCTGTGGGTACCAGTAATGAAAACATTAACCTATACTACAATTATCTAAAAAGTTCACATTACTAAGCAAAATGTCCAAGAAATTCATCAAGCAATGAATGTTTACTGATATATAACAGAACAAATTAATTAATGTACACTTTTTCATCTTTGCGTTTCTTCTGCACCACAGTGCCTGCTTTATGCTGTGCATCGGGATGATTGGCCAGCTCAGGAGGACAAGAGGACACGGAACTCTGTAACAGGACCTGTTTAAGGTCGTAGAATGTGGCACTGTCCTCCCTTGTAATGAAAGTGATTGCCACACCTTCTTTGCCAGCACGGCCTGTTCTACCAATACGATGAGTGTAATCTGAAATATTGCAAATGGCAACAATTAATATAACAAATTCTGTGTTGGTTCCAGGGTCCCATTTTGGGGGTAAAAAGAATAGACCCACAGCCCCTGTAACAAAAAATAAAAGTAGAAGAATTAGGGGTGACTCCTTTGAAACTGGGGTGCATCTGCCTGACAGGTGAGGAACCAGCAATCTGCTCTTACAAATAAGCCAGGTCTACAAAATGGATGTGCACATAAATCTAATTCTGGAACAAGACAAAAGTCTAGAAGTGGACAAGCAACCAGAACTTTCTCTCAGAGTTTACAACCAGTGAATGTGAGGAATGTGTTTTTGTTTTGCTGGTCAGTTTATGGTTTTCATTTGATTCATGGAAGACTGATCATTGGTATTTCTGGCAGTTATTACGTTCTAATTCCTTGGTGTTACCCTTCCTCTGGAGTTAACAAAGCAGGTGGATAGAGGGACCATGCTGCATAGGCAACACATGGTCTCTACAATACTACCCAGGCTTTTAGCTATAGAGGAGCAACTTCATCTCTGGCCTTAAATGGATTCCCCATGAGCTGTGATTCCCATGCCTTCTTATAGCAAAATTGAATATTACATAACCCTTGGCCCTTTAGGGTCAGGAAGGTGTATCGATGATACAGCACATAAAACCCGCCATCTTTCGCTGTCTCCTTGAACAAGTGTATGACAATTTTTCTTGATGTTGTCATTCCAGGTTCTTCTTGCCCCCCCCCCCCCCCCCCCACCCTTCCCCATTCCTTAGAGAACAGTCTTTGCTGTCGAATCATATCTCATTCTCATAATGTGCCCGAATAGAAAATTATAGTCTGGAAAGATGGGAAAAGTGCCAATAACCTCAGAAATTACACCTCTGCTGCCATTAGTTGTTTCTCAGTTTCACTCTCTGAGAGTCCATGATTCAAATGTTCACATCAGCAACATTTCTATACAGACAGCACTTAAGTACTTTTGTGTCACTGCCGTTTACACTTCTTTAAAACTCAGTACATTTTCCATTCTTTAAAATTGCTAATTTGTTTCATTGGCAAGTCTTGTTCTAAATTTTACAAGCTATCTTGCATGAGATAATCCAAGACAGTTACACCAACTAAAGATGGACTGTTCAGAAGAAGAAACGTGATACAAACAAAATCAGTGACTGATTGATAAATATAGTAAACAATTATGCGATTCTATTAGCTAGTTGTGTTTCCTTTACAGGATGCTGCAGACCAACCCCAGTAAATTTTTTTTTGCTGTTTGTGATTTTACTAAGTAATTTTATGTTTAGTAGTTTGCCACTGCTTTCTGAATGCTAGTCTCCTGAAAATACTGTCAAAACCAATGCAAGTTAGTCTACTGCCAAAATGTCTAAAGCTGGGATTGAACCCAGTACCCTGCAATTATGAAACATGTTTACAAAGCCTATGCCACAGACACCGTTCTATTACTACCCCTTTGAAAAAAAAATTTATATAATCTGGTGTGAAAATGAATGCCCACATAAAAGATGTGGGAAAAAAATTCACAGAGAAAAGAGAACAGTAACACTCACCTTCAATGTTTCTAGCCATGTCATAATTAATGACCATAGAGACATCTTTGATGTCAATACCACGACCGGCAACATCGGTTGCGACCAGAATTTCTTTACTGCCACCTTTAAGACTGGCCAATGCAAACTCTCTCTGTTCTTGACCTTTGCCACCGTGCAATGTGCAGGCATTGAACTGAAATTAAAATATACATCTGATTGATTTGACGATAACAAGTGATATATCATGGCCAATTACCACGATTATTTTTCATATGCACAGACAGGTTTTATTTGACTATAACAACCAATTCATTACAGCTAAAGTTAGTTTCATATTCTGCACAGCTTACCACAACGCAACCCCAGCATTTGACTGTCCTTTCCACATCAAGACACCCTGAGAACTATATAACTAGAAGGGCATTAAGCTGGAACCCACAAGGGTATAGAAAGAAAGGTAGACCCAAAAAATACAGGGAGAAGGAAACTAGAAATTGAAGTTAAAAAGATAAAGATGGCATAAGCTGAGCTGCATGCAAAGGATAGGAAAGTGTGGCGTTGGTTGAGGACCTATGCTCTATTGAAGGATATAGGGAAAAGTAGTAGAAAAGAAGTTTTACTAGGTAATTTTATGCTCAGGAATTTGCCACTGCTTTTTGAAAAGTCCCTAACACTGCTGTAGAAATCAACTTAAAAAATGGTCTGCTGCCAAAAAGACCAAAGCTGACATCATACTTTGATGTACTGGAATGATAAAACTGCAATCACAACCCCTAAGTCACGTACAGTAAGTCATAATGGTTAAGAAACAAAATTACTTTTATATATATAGTCATAGGTTTCATTTAACGATAACCGATTCATCATTCATGATTTTATGTGTTTTTTTTTTTGGTTTTGTTATGTGTATGTTGGAGACAGGAAACATTCCTGCAATGGTGTTTTTTTTTTTCACATTACAAATTACTTACAGGGATAGCTTCAATGGCATTTAATGTCCTTTACGGATGCTGGGTTGCCTTCAGCATCACACATTATAATGTCATTTGATATTATCCTGTAAATCTCTATACTTACACCCATTTTTTCCAAAGATTTTGCAAGCACATCAGCCCCCTTCTTCTGGTTGACAAAAATGATGATTGGAGGTTCAACACGTTTATTAAGGATCTCCAAGAGTTTCTTCCTGAAAACAAAGAAATTTGGAAAGTTCTAGGTAATTCAGGAATAAAACAAATGCATTTGTCCCTCAAAAATCACTATCCAAGGAATAAACAAAATGTTACTGAGATGTAGGAATATTTCAGCTACTTGATTAACTAAGCAAAAGCAGTCCAAATAATTCTTATGAGGTTCTCTAAGATAATTCTTCTCGCTTCTTAGCGTCCACCAGCTATAAACTCTGACGGAATGTTCTGGTTGTTAGTCCTCTTCTAGACTTTAGTCTTGTTCCATAACTTGAATTTGCATGCATAGCTGCTTATCGGTAAGCAGACTGTTTGCCTCCCAGGTAGATGCGCTCCGACTTACGAGGCAAAGTCTCTAACTAGTTGCCTTTTACAACATGCCTGATAAGGACGCAGTGGGTCTTTACCCCCCCCCCCCTTTCCCCAAAGTGAGGCCCAGAACACGCGCTGGAACCAAGATACCAGTAATTCAAAATGTTCATGTTTTCCAACAACTATTACCAACAAAAAAAGGACTGTGTAAAACCAAAATTACCATCAACATGAGCAACAAGTGTGAGCTACCATGGTCTGCCATGAAACAAAATCACAAAGTCTTGGATCAGGTCTTTTTTTCAGCAATAAGAACTTTCTTATCCAGTCTGTCATCTGATTTATGATGCGATTTGTGCTGCTTTAAAAAAAAAAAGGGGACCCTTTTCGCACCAATGGTGCACAGGGCATAAGATGCTACTCATAACTGAATAGACAAGCTGGCATCTGATGGCTGATGCAATCAACATTGTGCCAGCCGCTTTTGACTCCCAGGTTATTTCTTAGTGCACATTTTAGGTTGGAAGCCCCTGCTGGCACGTTTCCATATTTCTAGACAACTGTGTTCTACTGCGCTACAGGGAGCAGTGAAAATCACAGTCCATGGTACAAGACCAATTAAGCTCGGGATGAAGTTCCTTCTCTCCCTACACAAAGTCAGGGCAGTATTGTAGAGACCATGTCCTGCCCGTGCAGAATAATCCTTCACTTGATCTGCCTTGTTAATTCGAAAAGAAAAGTATTTTGAACAAAGTATGCAGTGCACCCAATTTCAATTACGAATATACACCTTGATGTAGCTTCAAACACAAGACCTTTAGGCTGAATCTAGACAATGCTTATAATCTGTCTAGAACATTTGTTTGCAACCCTTTATCAGATGCCCTACCAAATATATGGCAAGATCTGTATCCCCCACCCTACCCCTTTTTTGCAATTTAAAAAAAAAGGGATTTAAAAAGAGCAGGACAAAAAGTATGCAAATGCAGCATTCAAATTCCAGAAAAATGTGATTTAATAAAACAAATGTGCAAATATGCAGTGCATCACTGGGTTCAAATGTAGAGGTAAAAAATGGGGTATGAAAATAGTTTCCATATTGAAAGTTTGTATGTAGAGCAGTACATAGGTCGAGCTACCACTGTATATCTTTTTCTCTTTTTAACAAACTTTTAAATAAACTTCTTTATTTTCTATTGACTGTTACCCTGCTTATTAAAAATTATTTAACTAAAAAAAAAAAACACTGTTAAAAGTAATATTACCTCTTTTCATTCTCACCAACCATGTAGACTATCTGTTCGACTCTGTCTACAGGCTTGCCAACATTACCAATGTAAACAACAGTTGGACGCCGCAGGAAAGTTCTAGCCAATCTTTCAATGGTTGGAGGCATTGTTGCAGTGAACATGACAGTCTGTGGTAGAGAAAACATATTTATGTAGGCAAAAACAAAATTACTTTCACATAGTTGAAGGAGACAATCCACATTCTTTGGCCACGTCATGAGAAACAAAACAAAAACTGGAATAGACTGTGATGGTGGACACGTTGCAGGAAAAATTAGGTAGAGGGAGACACAGAGAGAAGATGTTTGACAGTCTGACATCATGGCAAGGAATATTATTTGTGTCAGAACTGACTGAAAGTACATAAGACAGAAGGCTGCGGATAGCATGACTTTTAATGGTACATAATATGTATTAAAAGAAAAAGTCGGTCACCAGAGTATCTAGTAAATACAATATTCTCTATCTTGCAAAATTAGTATAAATTGCACTCGATAATTTTAAAAAACTATTTCCAGTTTAGCAAATGAGGGCACTAACAACTATGCTAATGAAGCACATGCGGTAACATATACACACACACATAATTATCTCTCTCTCTCTATTAGGCACACCAACGACTGTGCAATCCTGCGTGCAAGAGCACTCACATAATTAACCCTTTTAAAAAGTTTACACTTATTATGTTCATGATAAATCATTGTTAAGAAAATTTAAAATCAACAGAAAGCAAACACTTTTGGATCAAACATAAGCATATATCGCACAAAATAAAGATAACCTATAAACCCTAAAAGAGTTGCCACAGCACACTGACTACGTGTCTGAATCACACAGTGAGTTAATTCTCTTTTTATTTTTAAACAACTGGCCGAAGCTCTTAGCTCAAGCCGGTCAACAATGAATATCATACACATTTTATGTATTATAAGAAGTAAAAGTGGCCGCATAATGTTAAACACAAGCTGAATTAAATGTTGAGGTTCTGGTGGCATACACACAATATGCTTAGAGACAAGGAAGCAGGTGGTAAAATAATTAATCCAAGTGATTTGTACCCAGTACTGATGCTGTGAGGGATAGTAATGCCACAAACTGATCTCATTCTGATCATCATCAGTCAGCAGGTCCTTTAAAGAATGTTGCATTCTTCAGGGCACACCTGAAAGTCTCTCTTCCTCTAGCTAGTTCTCCAGCCCTATACGTATTTATAGCCAATGCATCTTTGATCTCTTGTATCCACCTTCATGGAGGTCGCCTCTGCCTCCTTTTCTAGAAACTGTGCCCTCCATCACTATTTTCTCCATACCAGCATGGGGCTTAAAATCGCCAAAATAACTAAATCTCATAAAAAGGAATTAAACCAAGTCTTGCACATCACAATTTAAACTTAACTAGACAGCCCAAGAAGGATTTGTAATAAAGTCAAATACCTGTCTGTACTTCTTTTTGGTGTTGAAATTCTGAAGCATAGCTGTGTCATCCTCTGCTTCTTCAGTGTCTGGTTTTTCATTTGTTACAGGCAAGTAATCAAGGATCTTGCGTACTTCAGGCTCAAAACCCATGTCAATCATTCTGTCTGCCTCATCCATGACAACATAGGTACACTGATTCAAGACCAGGTAACGATTCTCCAGAACGTCAATCAGACGACCAGGTGTGGCAATTACAACCTGGAAATATTTGTATATGAACTCATTTGAGGTTTATTTTATTATAGCTATACAGCTCACAGTTTTACTCATAACATTTACATAAGCAAGCTGCAACCTTACAACTTATTAAAGTGTATTACTGAAATTCAGAAGCTTGTGAGTTCTGGGGCCCCTCATCAAACCTCATAAAGAGCAAGTAATTAAGGGTTTGCTGAAGTCAAGTATGTTGGATCAAGAGATGCGGAAACTGCACCCATGCTGCAAACCATAACACATGCTTATCCTTTTAAAGGTAAACATAGAAAATGACAATTAACATAACTAATTGATTCCTGCATTTAAGAAAATCTTAACTGCTACACTTGATATTACCGAACCTACTACATGAATAGTGTACAGATTAACTCCTTATCTGGTCACAGGAAGTTCTCAGCTCGGTGCATTATTGGAGGTAAAGATGGTTTTTCCATTCTTCTTCTTAGCATTTACTAACTGTAAACTGAAAGAAAGCTCTGGCTGTTCATCCACTTGACACAAGACTTTAGTTTTGTTCTAGAACTTGTTTTGTGTGCACACTCGATTTACAAATCTGACTCATTTGTATCCAGACTGTTGGCTCCAGGCTGCTCAGGCAGATGCACTCTGACTGTGAAGGAAAAACCCATAATCAGTCGCCATCTACAACATGCATACTGGGAGAGGGGTAGTGGGATCATCCCCCCCCCCCCCACCTATCCCAAAATCTACAGCAAGTAAATTACTTGACTGCAATATTCCAAGGGTAATTATATTCTAATGGCAGATAATGTCACTGGGGTCTGGTTCTTTTACATATTTCAGGCTATGCCATAATGAGGTGGGGATGATAGTTCTCTTCCACTGAGACTTTCCTTTTCCTCTATTCTTTTTCCTCTATGATGATGAGTTGAAACCAGATGCTCACTGACTGAGAATGATAATCTTGTCACTATTGGAATTAAACACAAAACCATTCCTGTGAAGAAAGACAGACATAAAAATTTTAGCAGTCAGAAAAACTCTTTCATAAGAAATAAGATCTGTACAAGTGGCACAGTGATCTAAGACACAGGACTGAGAGAAAATGTTAATGCTGTTGTGATGTGTATAATGAGATACCCTGTACTTCACTTCAGGCATTAGCAGGTTCTGTGCTGGTTTTACGCACCCTCAAAAGCAAGACTTCTGCCACAAGTTCTCGTCTGCCATGGATAATGGCCTACTCAGCCTAAATCAAGCTGGCAGGCGATCTCGGTGAACCCTGGGGATCTCGGTGACCCCCAGATATGCAGTGCCCAAGAATACCCTAGCACTCATCAGCACACCTCCTGTGCACGGGTGATAACATAAACCGATAACCTATTTGGAACATGAGTGAAGTCCACTGGCCGAGTTTCCTACTAAATGACAAACTCAGGGTCAAATGTATGTCTCTTGAAAGTCCTAATATATGATAAATCTTGATTCCAACATTTGTGGACTAAGACTCCTACTATACTTCTATGAACAATAAAGAAAATCATTACAAAGCACTTCAAATAGTCTGTTATCTAAATCTCTCATTATTGAAATAGGCCTGAAATTTGCCAGACTAAAAAGTGTGTCTTTCATGCTTCTTCCTGTCTGCGACTTATTTTTAAATTATTTACAAACACAAACAAAACCACTATGACCAGACAGCACACTCACTTCACAGCCTTGTCTGAGTTTGAAACCCTGCTCCTCACGAGAGATACCTCCAATAATTGAAACAACCCGAATGCCCAGGTTTTTGCCAAACTTAACGGTCTCCTCTTCTATCTGTTGGGCCAACTCACGAGTGGGTGCCAAAATAATAGCATAGGGACCTTGGTCAGCATCTTCCATCCTGTAAAGAAATAAAACATTGTTTAATACTCTCCATAACTGGGCACTCTATAAAGTTATATTTTATGATGGATACTAAAATTAACATAATAAACATCTAATTCTTGGTTTCAAAGAAACAATAAACAGTTTTCTTAGGGGAATGGGAATAAGAGAGAGGGAAAGGTGATACAAAAAAAGGGGGATGCGGAGGTGGGGGTCATACTGATTTTTGTATATTTGTACTGTAGTCCGAATGACACTGCCTTTGCTTTACACATAAATAATGATCTTCTAAACTATTTTTAAATATACATTTAAAAAACACAAAATAATTCCTTTTGCATTAAAAAAAAATGTTATGCATCATAGTACATTATAAAGATTATAGACTTTTTTAAACCCATCAATTATATTACATTTTTTACTGTTTCAACTTGGAAAAACAAAAAAAAAATCCCTAATTAGTCCCCTTTAAGAATACGCCTGTTTAGTGGGCAGTAGGTCTGTCTATCCCCCCCCCCCCCCACAACTCACTGAGTCCTGAAACCCACACAGGAACAGAAAAATTAAATAGACAGAAATGGAAAAATACAGACTACAACAAAACCATGATGGAGTGTTTTTTTCATGTACAGACATAGCCCACAAAAGTGACAATACAATATTTACCCAAGCTATTAAGAAAAATGTTTTCTGATATCTACATGTATTTTTAAAAAATAGCAGAACGTGAACTTTGGTGCATGCCATTAGTGAGATTTTGTAATATTTTATTAATTTATTATGTGAAACCAGCTGCAGGGCGTCTTTAACATCAATACTAGCAGCTTATATGACACATACTGTTTTAATTGAGCTTCAAATATGTGCCACCTATTTACTGTTTTTATTTTAAGACATTCCCCCTCCCAAAAAAAAAATTATTCATTTACGATCGATACAAAAGTGAAAAGCAAAGTGACCTTTCAATCTTCGGCAGTGTCATGATCCACTTAAGAAGTGGAATGAGAAAAGCAGCCGTTTTACCACTGCCAGTTTCAGCCACACCAATAATATCTCTGTTCTGTAGACCAATTGGAATGGCTTGCTTTTGAATTGGAGTAGGTTCCTGTGAAAAGTGGGGGGAAAATAGCAAGAAATTATATAAAGAAAGACAATGTTAATTATTCTACTGTTTGTGCAGAAAATTACACTGTAAACCACAGCCAAATACTGTATTCTATGCAGCATCAAAGACTGATAGCTCAACATTTTGATACGTTTATAGTATAAGTAAGCAGGAAGCGTTTTAACATACTGATACCTCAGTCGATCAGGACAGACCAATATTTTCATATAATTATACAAACTTTTTAAAAATACCTTCATATACTTATAGTATAAGTTAAACAGCATTAAAAGTCTATGGTTATGCACCAGCAAGGAAATCAAAGTCTACATTTTGAGAGCGTGCATCTTCCTTGTAGCAATATACAGATGTGAGCCGTGGACTATCGCCCAGTCCTTAAGGAAGAAAAATGGGGTTTTAGAGCTGAAATGCTATAGAAAGATTCCAAGAATATCATGGACAAAAAGATCTGAACACCAAGGAAGACTGGCTCATAAACAGCATCTTGTCTTAGAAGCTGAAATATTTTGGCGATGTCAAGTGTCAAGTTGGACTGGAAAAATAACAGCAGAAGGCATGGTGTCAGGGAAGAGGGGCAGGGACCGACCAGCATGAAGATGGGCACATGATATAAGTGACTCCTTAGGTATGAAAGTGCCAGAGGCAGGACAGCTGAGTCTCTTTCAGGCAGACCGTGATGACAGCGACATTCTGCAAAGGATCTGCTACAAGATGATGATGATGATTAGAAAGGATCAGTTTCATACACTGATTGACAGACAATAGATCAGTAGATTTTCTTTCATAACTTCAATAATTATTGTGTTTTCCGATGGTCTTAGGTGACCCCAGTAAAAGGGTCATTCGACCCCCAAAAAAGGATCGCGACCAGCAGATTGAGAACAGCTGCAATAGATCAATCTCTACATACACTTACAATATAAGTAAGCAAGGACCCATTCCAACACCCTTAAACATATTAGGTATATAAAACTAGCCCAATTCTTTGTCAGCTGGCACTCAATTAACATATAAAATAAAACTTTGCTTCTTCTTAACTTCCTCGTCACTTCACTGAAAAACTACAAGCACACAAGACTTCAACAGGATGACAAATCATGCAGCCCGAGAATAACAAACAGGTAGAAAGATATCTCCAAATGCCCCCCCCCCCCCCCCCCCCCCCCCCCCCCCCCCCCCCCCAAAACAAAGAACAATATCCCTAAATGGCTGAATACCTTGAATGTAAAGAAGAAATGTAAAAATTAAAACAAAATTATGTGTCTAACCAAACAACAACTAACCATCTAATATAAACCATATATATATATATATATATATATATATATATATATATATATATATATAACATTCCACGTTAAAACATTTAATGTAAAAAATAGATAATAATTAAGGGGGACAAAAATCAGTTTGCTGCAATCATAGGAAAGCACAGTTTACATACCCACACACACACAAAAAATCCAATGTCTTACCTTGTATCCAACCTCGTCAATAATGTCAAGCAACTCTTTAGGTAAGTCAGCTTCTTTCCAGAAACGAATAGGATTTGGAATTCTCCCACCTTTACAGCTGATGTTAAAATCTTCCTTAAAAATACGCCAATCTCTCTCAACCATATTGTCCAGGGGTTTCTCAGACCAGTGACGGTCATCCCAGCGTTGCTTAGCCTCTCGTGAGGCAACATTTTTCAGTCTTTTCCTTTAAAAATAAATATAATTAAAATAAAAATATAATTAAAATAAAACTGTTAGGGAAATCTTATATTTTTTTTTTACATAAGTAATTACATTTTTTAATATCATTACATCTGAGGAGAATGGAGTTACAAAGGGGATCTGGCCGACGCTCAACAATCAGTGGAAAGGCGAGATAGATATACAATCAGACAGTTACTGGTACCATCGGAATTTTAACTCTTCGCTTGATGCTGATGATGGGGATGAGGTGCTTATGGGGGTGTCCCAAGTGCTGTGATGTCAATTCTTAATTCAACACTAAAATTTATTAATATGTAGAAGTTGCCCATGTGGGTTCTGGGGTCTCATTATCGGGGGGTAAAGAATAGGCTCACTGCCCTAAAACAGGCATGTCGTAAAACTCAACTAATCCGTAGTGTTTCTTTCAAAGTTGGAGTGCACCTGAATGGGAGGCAAGGAACCAACAGTCTACATACAAATAAGCCAGATGTGTTAACATGGATGTACATGCAAAAAACTCAAGTTCTGGAACAAGATTAAAGCTCAGAAGTGGACAAACAAAAGAACTTTCTGCTTGAGTTTACAGCCGGTGAACACCAAGAAGAAAAAAGAAGACATGTAGAAGTTTTAACAGCTCAGCAGTAACAAACTTTTATCAGCAGAAACAATTATAGGAGGTCAAAACAACACTACAAGGAAACTGCAGATTAGAGGCATTCAACAGCAGATACTCTCATAGTTCTAGATACAACAGACTATTTCTAAAAAGTCTCTGAAACTGACCAGGTTTCTCTACACTGTCAAAAACTCACAACACACAGTAAGATATCAACTTTATAAATGTGTACGGAAAAAATTTTCTTAACCGATCTGATTCACGGGTGGATTTCAGGACCCATTTGGGGAGGGGGTGGAAAAAAAGGTGGGGGGGGGGGGGGGGGGGGGGGGGGGGGAAAACAGGGGGGGGGGGGGGCTCCTTAACAAGCATACTGTTAAAGGTTACCGATTATAGATTTGTTATGTTGGGCCAAAAGGTGCAGATATCACAATCTAAGCATGCCATGGACCCAGTTACTAGAGTACAACTATTTTTGCAGCGTTGTTTTGAAGGACGTGTATTTGGGTGCTGGTGGACTTTCGGAACATCGGTGTTGACTGGGGGAGCGGAATGAATGGATAGTGACAGTTCGGTTTGTAGGGACTGACAGGTCAAGTTTTTGTTTTCGTATGTTGGATATGTGTAGCTAATAAAGTCTATGTCGACCTCAACGATGACTTCTACAATGTTTTGTTTTTTCAGTATCTCCGTTTAAAACTTTGTTAAAGACAGTTCTGTTAGCGGAGGTTAGTTGCGTATCCTTTACAGGACGTTGCAGAACCAGCCCCAACAGCCCCTGGCTGTTGTAAGGTTTTTCTAGACAAATTCTACGTCCAGTAGTTTGTCATTGCTTTCTAGACGGTCGGCTTTCTTGAAACCACTGTCCAAACCAACGCAAGGCACATGGCCTGCAGCTGGGATCGAACCCGGCACCCCAACATTTCAAAGCGTTTGCATCGACTTAGCCGACCTGTTAGCGGTGACACACACAAATATAGATATTGTAAACTATGTTACATACTTTTCCTGGTCTTTCTCAGTTTCTGTACGTCTTTTTTCCATGAGATCACCATAGAACTTTGACTGATCTTTTTTCTGTGCCTAAAAAAAATGACAAAGTGAAACCCTTTTAGATGAATTAACTAAAGGTCAACTTTCTTGCATCTTTAGGGTCAAATGCAGGCTGCCAATGATGGGTTTTTACCCCCCACATCTGGGTTGTTATCTGATGCCTTGGGTTCAGATTTTAGAAGCTTGGGTTTTTCAATATATCTTTACATAAAAGTGGATAAATGTTTCATTTTATAGACATAAAATTTGTACTTTTTATTAATCTTGTGTTTTTGTTTTTGTAAAAATCTCATTGGCAGCCTTGGTCAAATGTAATCTTATGAAGAGTCACAGACAAGAAATTTAAAAGACAGTGAAATACAACATAGCCTTATAACCTTATTGAAACAAAACCTGAATATACAGCTAATTTACCTTGATATCAATTCCAGCAATGTTGCCTCTCCCAAAGAACTGCACATGGTGTTTGTCCTTGTACAGCTGATTGTAATCTTGAGAAGTATCATCCCCAGCATCCCAATCGAACACAAACTTCCTGTCATTCAGACGTCGTATACGTTTCCGTTTCTTTATTATGCCTAGGTAACGTTCCTGGAAAATATACATCAAGCTATTAGATTTCATTTGAATCTAAACTTAAGTTAGGAGCAAATCTTCTGTACATCCCTATTCTGAGGGATACAAAGAGCTGACCCACCACACCTTAACATGTATTTCGCAAAAGATGGATCTGTTGTGTTGGGCCAACAGGTACAGATATCGTCACCTAGCTGTTAACCACATACAATGTGCCAACCACCCTTTTAAAGATGAATGCATAGGAAGAAGAAAGAAATCTTCTGTACTGATTCCTCTCTTTGTTAAAAACACACTAAATGATATTTGTAATGACTATAAGCGGTAACTAAAATCGAACAAATGGAACTATTTTTTTTTACCTGTGTGGGTTCCAGGGCCCTATTAGGTGGGTGGTGGAGGTAGGGGGACAAACAGAGACTCATTGACACCCCCCTCCCCCACAAGCAGGTAATAAAAAGCGACTAATTAGGCATGTTTTTTCAAAATTGGAATACATCTGCCTGAGAGGCGAGGAACTAACAGTCTGCATACAAATAACCCAGATCTGTAAACGGATGTACACGCGAAACTCAAGTTCTGGAACAAGATCAAAATCCAAAAGTGCATAAACATCCAGAACTTTCCGCCAGAGTTTACAGCCAGTCAATGCTAAGAAAACAGAAAAGCAAACTGTAATCGAATAAAGTGACACATCTAAAGTTTACAAACTTATCGGAAATGATTCTTACCCGTATAGCCTCTGATTCTTTGTCTTTGTCCTTGACATCCTTCACCTTACTTCTATCTTCTCCATCGTCTTTATCTTTCTCTCGTCGCATCTGCCTCTCTCGTCGTTCTCTGTCTCTATCCCTGTCCCTATCTCGATCATCCACTGCATAACACAAACATTAAACAAAAACATCTGAAGTTTAGTGTGTAAACATATCAGAAATCAAAAACAGATGTAAATAGGTACTTAATATAAATACACATTCCAAGCCAGACAGATTTCACTGCTGAGAAAAAAAGGTGCCACCCTGGTCCTCCAGGTTGGGGGCTGAGGCGTGGGGCCAATACCCCCACCTTTAAAAAATCTAATTTCGCCATGAAAAAAAGATACACAAATTTGATTAATTTAAAATGACAACAACCCATGAATGTAAAAGGACATCTGAGATTGTGATATGTGGAATGTATACACTTTTTATAGAGCTGGAGCAGCTGAAGAAGAACATGTATATACTGGCATATACCATGACCCGTGACCTTTATCACTAAGAAAATTCACATCAGCCTGGCAATAAAAAATAAGCTATCCCCCCCCCTCCCAATGCTATTTTTTAATTAGCGTATTTGATATCCTGACCTCCTAAACTTTTGCGCATGTTCAAAAACAGCAAACAGCATTAACTATGCATCTCATAAACAGGTAAGAAAGGTGACATTTACAGGGAAGTAGACCCAAGCGGAAGTGTCAGTTTTGCAGCTTCTCACGGCAAAAGGGTTAATATAACATATCTCTGTAATAAAAGTCTAAAATTCTAATAGGGTCATGATCCACTTTATCTTTTTTAGTGTTTGTGGGCCAGGGGGGTTAAAGTATTGTAACTGAATCAATAGTTTCAGTACTTCTATCCCACAGTGCCTCAGTTCCACTCCTTCAAGCCTATTTATAGATTGTTTTTATTTTCAAACTTAACTCCTTGGGATATAAAGTGTTACTGTAACAACTGCCTGGTAACAAGGGAGTGAAAGAGTTCATTAGGTACTACTCATGAAAGTCACCCCCATCTCGTCAGCCCCGAAATTTAGTAGTTATTTCCACGGGCGGTCCTATGTTCTAGGGATGTTATGAGATTATGTCTTCCTTTGCCGTCTATACAAAGCATGCTGAAAAGTGGGTCTGGTTCGTTTGGTGCGGTGGACACACTGTCTCCCAGATGAAAGTGCAAACTTTTTTGTTGTGAGTAGGTCTCAGGCACCTCCGTGCAACGAAGAAGTATTGCAGGGGAAAGCACCAAAACGTTCAAAACAGGGATTACATGACACCCTTAGACTATAGGAGTGTCCCAGCCAGCACAGTGGTATGAAGAAGGCGGCCGCCCAGAAAGCTACATTTTAAAAATGTGAATGCAAAACTCAAGTTCTGGAACAAGAAGTCCAGAGAGGGACGAACAACCAGAACTTTCCACCAGACAAAGAAGACTTGTAACACAGTGTTTATGGTAAGAACATGGTTGTCTTTTATAAGTCTTTGTGTCGTAGTATGCAAATTTTACACAAGGTCTTGCTATGAATCTTATTCACTTACATTTTATTTCCAAGAAAATGGAAATGTGTTAACTGTTTAAAAAGTAAATGCTGTTTGCTTTAAATAATTGTATGACAAATGTTCTGGATTCCAAAAAGTGTTGAGATTACTGCTTAAAATGAAACGGAATGCAGAAACTTGACTGTGAGCCATAAGTGCTTTGTAAATGGCACAATAGGAGTATGATGATGATGTTTGTATTAAATTGGAATAGGAACCTACCCAAGCAGGAAAAAATGTGTTCACATAAATCATTTAACAACTGCATTTATTAACAAGGTAATATACTGACAATTATGGATGAACATGAAACAATTCATAGGATTAACGGGGAACCAACAATTTTAAAAATGAAGTACTGATTCCCAGGGCAATAAAACAGGCAAAATTGTATTAAACAATGAATGTGTTCTGAAATAAATCTCATTACCTTACTCAAAGCTGCTTCCTCTGCCTTTTTCTTTGCTAGTAACTCTTCTAAAGACAAAGGAACCTTTTTATCTTGTTCTTTCTTCGCTTCTTCCTCTTCATCTTTTAAGTCACTGAACAACAATAACAAAAATTATAAACATGTGAAGCTATGAAGATCGTTCTTAAATATAATATTTTTTTCAATTATCAAGTAGTTTAGGGATGTTTCTATGAAACTAATAAAACCAAAGCAACAGCCAGTTTGTTTGTTTTTTAAAGATTAAAAAAAAAAATCTTTTTTCATTTGAATTACGTAAGTCTTTGTTGGTTTTACATGATATTATAGGGACTGAAGGAAGTCAAACAGTGACAACCCTGGAAGATAGCCAAATACACAAGGTACCCCTTCCTCCTGTTTGATGAGATGAAAGCTAACATCTAAGCAACTGTTAACCAAACCTGAAAACACCCGTTATCATAGTTAATTCACAAGTGAGACCAACATAAGACTCTCCCAAAGAACTTTTTAAACAGATGGTATAATAAACAAAATTATAAAAGATACACAGCTGCCAAGATATATACACACATACACACACAAGCATGTGTGTATTCACACACAAGTTAAACGCCTGAACACCCCCCCAAAAAAAAATTGATCAAATTCAACAAGCATCTCACATTGAGGAGCTTTTGATTATATTGTGGTCTGTGTTTATTTATACCATACTCATTGCTTAAAATGCCATACTGGTTTAGTAATAAGGTAATCACAGTTTTAACTTCAAAGCAAACAGGGCACCTAATAGTTGCTCCATACCTATGCCAGAGAAACACTTACAGAATGTTTATCACTGTCCCTTGTGGAAAAATAGACAAAGACTGCAGATTACTGGTTTTTAGTCGGGCAAGTATTTGCATCTGATAACAGCCAGCCATTGCATTTTCCTCCAGGTGAAGACTGAAATGATACAGTTCTGTCACCTAATACTGAACTATTGAGCGTGGTGCATGACACTGTGAGCTGCAGATTTAATTGTAAAATACTGGTTTGGAGAGAAGAGTAATGGAGGGTTTGGTTCCTTAAAAGAGGCATGAGTTGACCAGCAAAACAGCAGACCCAGGACATCAATGACACTCTGGGCAAGAAAATCCATTGAAATGGGTGGCTTTCAGTGTGCCACGATGACAGTGATTTTCTTCAAAGAACCTGCTACATGATGAAGATGATTCACCCTTACTTTTTCTAAAACCTAGGTCACTGCCAATGATACTGTGTTGTTGTGAGCACTTTCAGAGCCTAGCATAATCCAATCCTTGCCAAGCACCAGAATTCACTTACTTTTTAAATATTCTGTTAAGAGTGGATTCCATATTTTGAAATTTTGTCAGGATGGTTAGCGGCTTTATGTTGGTAGTTATTTCATATGCAGTTAGAAGCAACAACTTCATTCCTCAACAAATTAGTCCCAGATAAGAGTTCATACATGGTCTATAAATGATTCCGATAGTTCTTACCATGGTCTGGAGAAGGCTGTAATCCCTCAAAGAACATTATTCCTAAAGCTTACATAACTTCATCCTTCTTTTTCTACTACTGGCTGAGAGATCCTATTATTTCTTGAAATCAAGTTAAAAATGTTTGGCAGGTGTCGCAATACACATTAATCATGCTCATCACAAAGTGATTCAAACTGCAATGCTTCTTTTCTACTTCTGGGATAGAGAGTCTAATTTTATCAACATCACAGCACAGACATGTGACTGGCTTGTGTCAGAATATATATTAATCAGGCTCATCAAAAAGCAATTTAACCTGCACAATTTCTCAAACATATGGCTTGACATCTTTGATGTTAACAACAATTCCTTGGGATTTTCAACTTTCCTAGCTTTTAACTATCCCCAGTCTATGTATGAGCCAGTAGGTTTTCAAGTCTCATTTCATCACATCATTAGCCATTAACATGTCTGGACTGAAAGATCCCGATGTAGCTAAACTACTGGTCAGTACTAGTCGTGAGTGCAGAGGAACACACAAGTCTTTTTACCACAATAATGTAGAGACAAGGAAGATGAGATTAATAAGGATTTTTACGAGGCAGCGTTAGCGCAGTCAATAAAAGGCTCAATTTCAAATCCAGCAGCGACTCGCCGAAGCACACCGCCGGTGTTCGAAACCGGACAGTTCTGGGGGTTCACCCAGCCTCTAGGAAATGGGTAATAGAGTTGACACTCTGTGGTAAATGAAGAAACATCGCTGTCGCTACAGAGTTACATGCGGACAGCAACACAGGCGGACAGTTCTTATCAGCTGTCCGTACTGGTGGCAGAGCACTTATGGTTTATAACCAATGATGCTGGTTCACATCTCCCGACTTTACCTTTTTTCTTTTTAAATAAGGATGTGTCTTCTTTGTGTTCACTGGCTTAAACTCCGGAAGAAAGTTCTGGTTGGTTGTCCACTTCTGGACTTTTGTCTTGTTTTAGAAATTGAATTTTGCATACACATCCGTTTTACAAATGATTCCTCACATCTCAGACAGATGCACTCTGACTTCAAAGGAAACACCCCTAATTGGTCATCTTTTGTGACATGCTTGTTTGGGGCAGTGGGTCTATTTTTTCCCTCTCCAAACTGGAGCCCTGGAACCCACACAGGAAGGTTAATAAGATATGACTCACCCTTTGGCATCTTTTGATTTTGGAGATCGAGACCTCCTCCTCTTGTGTTTATCCTTGCTGTGATTTATGTTTTGTTTCCTTTCTTTACTACGACTTCGTTTTCTGGAAACAACAGATAATATAATAATGATATGCAATCAGTGCTTTAAAAGAAATGTAACAGATTCAAAAATCTTTTTTTACTTAATGAGATAATGTTTAAATTAGAATTGTAATTATCATAGTTTTTTATATATAAGACGATATACCTACATTTTTTTAAGTTTAAAATTAGGGGTCACCTTATATATGTAATGTGTTTAAAATATTTATTTAGCTATTAAAAAAAAAATAATTAGGTGTTGCCTTATAAATGGAACAATACAGTAGTTGACCGCTTGCTGGGAAATTACCAAAACCCATTTGGTTTTGTTCAATCCTTGTACCATGCATTCTTATCTTCTTAGCCTTCACCGGTTGTAAACTCTGACAGAAAGTTCTGGTTGTTCTGCCATTTCTGGACCTAGCTCTTGTTCCAGAGTATGAATTTTGCATACATATCCGTTTTACAGATGCACTCCAACATCAAAGGAAACTTCTTCTAATAAGCCCCCTTGTATGACATGATTTGTTAAGGAGGCAGCTGATCCCCCCCCCCCCCCCCCCCTCTGGCCGCCCAAAACCTACACTGGGACTAACATACATAACATGTTAATTAAGTAAAGAAACTTTGTCCACATCTTCAAGTGTATCGATCGAGCATATGGTGACAGTCTGATGCCGTACATGACAAAAAGTGATCAATTTGCAGTAAGGTAAAGTCTTTTTATGCCAGTGGTGCACTGGGAATTTTATGTGAAGACTCTTATTTTTATAGACCATCGGCACTCTGTGGGTTATCTGGTCAGCATCATGCTAGTCACTTTTACTTCCCAAGACATCACCAAGTACCCATTTTAGTTTGGGAGAAGAGGTACATTTTGAAGGAAAACAAATCCCACAGTCACTATGCTAAAGTGAAGTAAAAGTAAAGGACCCTTTTCCATGCCTTTAGGCATACAGGGCATATTCGGCTAGACCTATATTTGTATAGACCAAATGCCACAAGATGGGTGATGTGGTCAGCATCACGCCGGCCGCCTTTACTTCCCGGGACTGTCATACTTTCAGACTTATACACTGAAAGGATGAACGCCTTGCAAGTGCAAACAGTCTTTAAAGCACTCTATATCTTAAAACTTGAAATAAAGTATACCTTTCTCTACTTCGTGATCGGTGCCTTGTCTTATGCTTCAGGCGATCCTTTGATCGGGATCTTTCTCTCCGCACATCTTTCCTTTTGGGATCTTCACCGTCAATTCTATTTTCAGCTGTTTTTACAGGGCTTCGAGAACGAGATCTGCCAACTGGACCCATTGCTGTGATTAAGAAAAAAAACATTTATTTATTTACATCATCATCATTTAACAGTGCGCATTGTTAGGTCACCAGTTGCTGTTGACTATCTGATCAGCTCCCTCCACCTCTGACAGTCAGATGGAATGGATTTCATGGTTTCATGCCTAAGGCCTGACCAGTCAGTCAAGTTCTGTATCCAAGTCTTTCTTGGTCTACCTCTTTCCTCCCTCTAGTACTGTCTCTGAGAGGCCATTAGATCTTTTTACATGTCCGTACCATTGCATGTTGCGTCTGCTTACTGTAGTTAAAAGAGGTTCATAGTTGCCAATATTTATTTGCATAAAATTTTTATTGTAAAATTAAGATAGCATACATCTATGTGACTTAAGTAATTGCAAACCATGGTTATAATAATAACAACTACAAATGTCTTTAAAATAATATCTCGGATCCAGTTAAAACACATATGAGTAACATCATGAATTGAACAAACATTGTATACATTGTAATTTTGAAACTGTGTTCGATCTTCCACTGACAAAGTTGTTAGTAAATTAATTTAAATGTTTTTTTTTTTTAATTAATAAAATTCCAATGGGATGGAATAGGTCAGATTTGGCCCCCTCAGATCTTAGATACTTGCATCCCTCTTCTTTGACATTTAGCGTAAAATGACTCTAAGAACCCACAACCTTAGAAATTTAGCACCTAACTGCAAAGTTTCTTTTTGAGACTGAGAACCTACTGGAGTTTTAACATTTAGGCTTTGCATCACCTGGGATGGTAACTGGTGCTGTAGCCCTTAACAAAATGCCTAGACCCTTTGATATTCAGCTTCTAAATATATCTGGCATAGGATGTTTTCCCACAATCACTCTGTGGTGGAGTTAAGCCCAGTTAATGTCAAGAAGAAGACGTAGGGTGCTATCATGTTGTGGACTGCCCTTCCTACTTGCAAAATTCTTTGCTTTTGTGTGCAGTGTTTATGTCAGGATAAATATCATCATAAGTAACTCAAAAACACAGAGATTTTCTTTCCGCGACAAATCTTGAAAATATCGTAGGCAGTGTATAAAACAAATCTTCTTTGTTCACCGGGTGAAAACTCAGACGGAAAGTCCTAGCTATAGGACTTTTAATAGACTTTGGCTTTGTGCCAGAGCCTTAGTTTTGCGTGTACAGCCGTTTTACTGACATTTGTGAACAGTTGGTTTTCCTTGCCACTTGCACAGATGCACCCCAGTTAGTCTGCTCTTATGACTTCTTCCTAGGAAGCAGTAGATCTATTCTTGTTTTCCCCCACAATGAGGCCCCAGAATCCACATGGGGAAGAAAATGATCTTCTTCTTCTAAACGTTCACCCTCCTACAAACTCCAGCGAAAGGTTCTGGATATTTGTCCGCTCTGGGACTTTGGCCTTTATCCGGAATGTGAATTTTGCATGCATATTTATTACAGATCTGGCTTATTTGAATGCAGACTGTTGGTTCCTGGCCTTTCAGGCAGATGCACGCTGACTTTGAAGAAAATACCCCACATTAATCGCCTTCTATGATATTCTTGTGTTGGAGAGGGGAGAAGTGGATCTAATCATTCTTATTCTCAATGAAGCCCTAGAACCCAAATGGGGAAATGGGGAATGATGAAGCATTAACTTTAGCATTTGTTGTTGTGACTAGATGCTCATAAAAAAACAATCAGTATTTGAAGAGATGTATTGCATGAATACATCAGAAAAGGTGAAGAATAGATAAATCAGCCTCACAGCAGAAAATACATGGCCTAGAAACAGAAACTGATGTGGGCAAAAAGTTAAAAGCTTTACTCTTTCGGTCTCGTGCATCTGTTACTTCAACACTTCCATTCTCAAACTGAGTGTCCTTTGCCTTTACAGTGACAGAATAATCAATAAGATTAATACGGTTGCTAATGAATTTCCAAAGCGGAGATTTAACTAGATGCTTGCTGACTCATCTGCGACCGTGAAATAGTAGAGTATTGACCCTCATTAGGAATTTTTTTTCCTTTCGCTTCAAGATAAAAAATTATATAAATACACCTTCCAGGAGTCACTGTAGAGATATCATTATTTATTTTTCCTTGCATTATATGTAATCAGTTTTTTCTTTGGCACCATATTGCGTATCTCTCAATAAATAAGTTTGTCAATAACCTGTAATTTAGGGAGATCAGAGTAATTTGAAATAAATTTGTGGATTCTGTGCATTTTTACACAAGTATGGAAAGTGTCACAATGATTAGCATCCTGGAAGTTAGAAAAGTGTTTACTAAAAAAAAAAAGTTAACTGGCAGCCGTTTTTATACTATATGATAATTAGGTTCGTGTAATCACATTATACTATAATGTGTGATGTCTATGGTGGTATCTTTGGTCACTAAAGTGTTAATATATCAACTTAGAATAGAATAAGAATTGACACATAAAGTTACAGGCTTCAATCGCTGGATTAGATTGTTTAATCTCTATCCAGCTATGATGGTTTTACAAGTATAAACCTAATAATATAATATAAAACTTTACCAGCATCCTTATGATTAACTTGAAGAATTACTAAACCTAAGAAAATTACATACAATAATTAATAATAATTAATAATAATCATTACAAATGAGTTCCTTTATTTCTCAACTATATTCTCTTTTGGGCTCTCCTCCGAACTTCTACCCCCGCAGTATTGCGGCCTGAAATAATTGAAATATCCGTTCGGGGCGCAGTCCAATTAAAAATATGTCAGCTCCCTATAACGAAACAAATGCTCTAACAGGGTCTCAGCGATATGTTACTTGCGGACCTGTTTCTGATTACCTGACAATTCTAAGAGACACATGCAACACTGCAGACAATAGTAGCAAACGATAATAATAGCGACCTTTGACACTTTCCATTGTCAAACTTTCTGCCGACGAACAAATAGCGGCAAATCTAGGATCGGCTCGGAAAATCGAAACAAATGCTCTAACAGGCTCTCAGCGATATGTTACTTGCGGACCTGTTTCTGTGACTATACCTCACCGCCGACCGTATACACCGCGCCGCTACGCACGGCGCGGATAGGGGCAAAACTAGATGGCTGGGACTCACGAGCGGCAGCTACAGCATCTCCTGCAACTTCCTACAATTACTTTGCTCGTGAGTCCCAGGCACCTAGTTTAGCCCCCCCATCCGCACGGGGGATACGCTCGGTGGTGTGTTTAATCGCATTTTGCGCATGCCGACAAGTCTGACATCTACCGCTGCTAAATCCTCAATCTGAAGAACAGTATTGCTAATCTGCGTTGGAGCGCGTGGCCTACCCGCCATATCGCTTTCATTGTCTGTAATGTCTCAAAATTGTCATCGGTTGCTTTTATCGTCTGCATAAAACGCTCAACATTGTCACCGGTCGCTTTTATCGTCTGCAATTTTGCGTTTTGTGACATTGTAAGGTACTCCTAGTTTTGACGCAATTTGTTCCTCGGCGGGAACTCCGACAAGTCCGTATTTTTATTTTGACTGCGCCCCAAACGGATATTTCAGGCCGTAAAAGTGCGGGGGTAGAAGTTCGGAGGAGAGACCTCTTTTGTTTTACTACTTTACAATAGTGTCAATAGTGACGCTAACGTGCTTAATTTGTTTTTAAAAAAAAATTAAATTAAGCCAAAAAATTAGTAAGTAAAAATTAGTTTCATTATTAGTATTTTACTTTACACTTTACTTAAGACTTTCCGCCTTCAATGAGCAGATGAGACTATCTCAGCTCTACTCTCAACGACCACCTCAGTGGCTTTGGTTGCCTTGCCCTTTGGCGAGTGCTGAACTCGGGCTGGACTGTGATTTTGTAAATAAATAAATAATAGTTAATAGTTTATAGTGGAGGTACCCTAAACTTAAACAAAGCGTGTCTTTGCTAAAATTACTTACTTGTATGAGGCAAGTACTAGCTATGACTTGTTAAAACACAAAACTACTTAGTTGTACGTTTAGATAACAATAACAGAGCAAACAGCAACGTTTAATTTCGTTATTTCCATCATAAACACATACAGGAAGTGGAGGCTATCCTGCGACAACAGTACCAAAATGAATTAGTACTGTTATTTTACCGCTGCCGACACCCTCTGCCTTGAATTGTTGATTTATGAGGTGCAAAACTCGCATCAAAGTAAAAATAAGCTCACATCAACATCTAATATAAATCTAATACTGAGAAATTTAGAAACCTTCTGTAAATTATAACCCGGACTTTAAAAGTGCTATCCTAGTTCATCATCATCATCAAGTACCTTGCCGACTGGCGTGGACAATTATGCCTCTCCACAATCCGATATCATCAATTGAGTGTAACGGTTTGTGTGTTGACACCTTTTCATGTCATGATAGAAAATTGTCAAGAATCTTAGCTCAGTGTCTTCCTCTGTCTCTCCATTTTTTTCTTCTTATTTAAAAGTGACCTTGACTCCCAGGTCGACCCAGCCTTGAGTGGGTACCAGGTATATTCATGGGAAGTAAGGGCGGCCGACGTGATGCTGACCATATCACCCACCAAGTGCCGATTTGTCTATAAAAATATAGGTATAAAGGTCTAGCCCTAAATTCCCAATACTCCCAAAAGGGACCTTTACTTTTACTGTAATTGACACTTGTAATGAGTATATGCTCCATTATAGACTCTTGGTGCTGAGACCGATACTTTTTCGTGTCTACGAAAAACAAACTTTTTATTATACCGGAATAGCATTTTATAGAACTAAAATTAGTATTACATAACCAGCATAAAATGGATAACTTATCATTTATATGATGACTAATTATAACCTACAAGATCGCTACCACATCGCTTTTCGGCCCATCTGTGCGACGTCTTCGGCAGACAGCTAGCTGATCTGCGGATAGAGACTGGGCCATGTGGGATAAAACCTGATGCAGCGAAGTCGATCCTAACACCTTTGCCTTCTCAGCCTTTTGATATTTTCAAAATATTCGAACGAGGAAAAAGAGAGAAACTGAGCCCCATTAGGACTCCACACTGAGTGTTCAACACCATGCGACGCAAAGTGCCGTGTGTCATTACTCGGATGAGAATCCCCCAAGTCAAATCACAGAAACCCCGTTCAACCGGAAGGAGGTGAGCAACCATCCACCCTTTTTTTAAAATGACAGACTTAGAAGGTCTAAATTTAGAAATTAAAATAAAAAACTATGGTGGAGGGGGGATTATACACGTCCTCAAAATGAAGAAAGAGAGACGACAGAGACAGGCAATGTAATGGACACCTCAAGGACAGCGAGGAAGAGGAAGGCCCAGAGGCACTTGAAGGCGACCTTTGAGGCTGAACTAAAGGCTACGTAAAGAACAAAACTGGAGATAGAGAGGGTGGCTCAGGGTCGAATTGAGTAGCGGCGGTTTGTCTCTGCCTTATGTGCCTCTGATTGATTGAACGTGAAGCAGGTGGAGGGGGGGGGGGGGGGGGGGAGGGGTTAAACAGAAACTCCGTTCTTCCATAAGATTATTTTAGGACCTTCGACTGTTAAGAAATTAGTTTAGTCCAGCCGGGATGAGCTGTTGAAAAAAAAACGTGTCCCATGTTTGGACGGGGGAGTCGCAGCGGCGTTGGCGGCAAGTAATTGCACAGCTAGACTTTTTTTTTCTTTCAAAAAAGGACCTTGACTTCCAGGTCGACCCAGCCTTGAGTACCAGGTGCAGTCCTGGGAAGCAAAGGTTGCCGGCGTGATGCTGACCACATCACCCACCCAAATATCGATTGGTCTTTAAAAAAATCTAGGTCTAGCCCTACATTTTCAATACGCCTAAAGGTGTGGAAAAGGGACCGTTACTTTTACATGTTGGGACAGGAGTTGATGTTAAAAACAAATTTATAAGATCCAGTCGGTCCCTCTGGCCTGATATACTCAGAGCTTTGTAACCTGGTGGTATGTAACTACGCAATACAGGCACTTTTTGGGGCATACATTTTTCAATGATACTGTAATAGACACTGTGGCGATAATCGGCACCTTTTAGGCATTTTTTAAGGGTGAGTATTGGCACTATTTTTTCTGAGAGAGAGAGAGAGAGAGAGAGAGAGAGAGAGAGAGAGAGAGAGAGAGAGAGAGAGAGAGAGAGAGAGAGAGAGGGAGGAGAAGGAGGGTGTGAGTGGGTTGTTGTGTGGGTGTCGTGTTTGTTAAATGTGTGGCAGTGAGCGCGTTATAGGAACTGTTATCATCTACACCCTAAGACATTTGCTGCGGTAGTCGGAGCACCTGTGGATATGACCGGTGTGCCAAAGTGTCAGTTCTTCAATCAGTAAATCAGTTTTTTTTTTTTTTTTACAAATGAAAAGTGTAATCGAAATAATGATAATCATAGATATGAAATCGTTCGAAACCGGAAGTGGGCTATAATTGCGATTTATCTTATTCAAGAACCTGACGTCACGGGATCATTTACACACTTACAGTAATAGTAAATACCAAAATAGGGAGGACTATTGATGTATTTGCACGAAGGTGCTACCACTGTCAGTTTTATGGTTTAAAGGAGTATCGCCATTAAACCTTTATAATGTCGCTGGCGGGCTTAAAGAAGCAGTTCAATAAAGCCAATCAGGTAACATGCCTACAGTTTCTATCAATTCATTCCCAGTCTGTGATCTTTTTGAGTTTGTAACGGTAACGTTTTTTCTCAATTTCTGTTCTGATAAAATAATCATAAATCAATAAAATATATCGTGATTGTCCTTATTATACTTATTATAACGCCTTTTATATATTTTCTAGTCATGTACTGTACTTGTTTTAAAAGTTCGAGGGCCATACTGCATCCTATTTCTAATCGCAACCCATTTAGTTAGGTAGTTACTAGTAATAATATATATTAAAAATATTTTGAGCATGTTGTGTTAGGAGTTACTGGTGTAGCTTGATTTGTTTGTTTTGTTTATTTATGTCATTGACCTGGAAACCTCAATTTCCATAAAGTCAATGTGGTTAATAATAAATATAGCTATTAAGTGCTCCAGTTTCCTACTATAATATTAGATTTCTTGGCTCTACTTGCAGATTTGGCCGGCAAGCTGGACAGCGTCGGTCGGCTTAGTGGGAGTTATGTCCCTTCGCCAAACTCAAAACAAGTCGCGGAAAAAGTCACGAATCAAATGACATACTTACCTATCATCATCCGGGTGCGTGTAGGGTTGCGTACGGCTGTACCTATCATCCTATGGTTGCGTGTAGGGTGTCTATAATTGTCCTACGGTTGCGTGTAGGGCTGCTTATTGCGTGTAGGTTGGTTGTTTGCGTAAGATGAGGGGTAGGTTTAGGGGTTAGGGTTAGGGGTATGGTTAGATGTGAAAATTTTCACGTAGGAGGTCGAAATAGTGGCCGACAATCTGACGCTTGTGGGAGTGGCGCCACTGAAACTCTGCCAAATATGACGCCAATAGCGGGCGGCTGGTGCCCAGTCCCTGGCGAATTGTTTGTTTCACTAGCATCCACAGGCCTTCGATTGTGTGTGTATGTGACTGTGCGCGTCGTCAACGAAGTTGGTCTGATGGACTACTACCTCGTGCAGATAGATGCCATGCCTTAAGTTTGCGACGTTGCTGTAGCCTCACCAAGCGTCAGTCACGATGGTCGTTCCCTTCAGTACGTGATCTGTTATGATCCTCTTTAATGTTGCAGCATCTTGTTTTCGCACAAGCTCCAAGTAGCAACGGCCAGTCTCACGCTCTACTAGCCATACGACCCAACGACCGTGATGGATGCGACCGCGCTGATACTTTCGTCGGAAGAAGTAACTCTCGTCTACTTCGACTACGATAGATTTGCCGGTCTCATCGAGTCCTCCCAGCTCCACGGTGTGTCTCAACATCCAATTATAGCATTCCTGACGGAAATAATTGTTGTAGTTGACAATGGTGGACCAGCACGTGAGTCTCTCGAAGACCATGACAGTCGTTGAACTTGCGTCGGAGAGCCAGTAGTACATCATCATGACTATTTTCTCGGTTGGCATGTCACTGTTGGCGAAAAAGGACCCCGTGCGAACACTTCACCGAGTATCACAGTGATGACAACGCCAACCGTATCTGTCGCTACAGTCCTGGCGAGGCGCTAGCGACATAGGTCGGTTGCACGAGCTGCACAGTTGCATATTCCTTATAAGACTATGCTCAGCTAGCCACCGCAACCACGCATACTTATCAGACATTAATGCATACAGATCTGCAGGAGTTACGTCCGTGGCAACTAAGTCGTGCGACGCAAGAACGTTGTTGGTTATGTGTGTGGGAGCTCTCTGTCTAACTGCCATTTTGATGTTGTTTGATTCGTGACTTTTTCCGCGACTTGTTTTGAGTTTGGCGAAGGGACATAACTCTCACTAAGCCGACCGACGCTGTACAGCTTGCCGGCCAAATCTGCAAGTAGAGCCGATTTCTTCTTTCGTTCGCATGAAATAAATTATCTATATCTGCAAAGCTGTCTCTAGTATGAATTTTACTGTCTTTTGTAATTCACTAAGCGGCCCGTAAAGTTTGACTTCCACAAGTGTCTCTTTTGGCCAAAGGTTTTGCCTGAAAGCGTTGAATCTGGGACAGTCTTGAAGGATGTGATCTGTTGTTTCAGGTGCCAGTCTACAAGTACACATGGCTGATTGGCCAATCTTAAATTTGTTGTACATGTGGCAGCGAAGTCGATTGTGCCCTGTTCTAAGGCGAAGGATAATGACTTGCTCTGGTCTGTCCATAAAATGGTAATCATCTTGTGCCAGTTTCGGTGGCATTCTGATTGATTTGATCATTCTCTTCTTCTGTTGATAAGAGACTGGTATGTCAGGTTGTTCTTCAGTTGCACCTTCCTTAGCTAGTTTATCAGCTCTTTCGTTTCCGGGAACTCCACAGTGGGAAGGTATCCACTGCATTACTAGTTTACAGCGGTTGCCTAGTTCGGATAATAGTGTCTGTATGCTTGATAATTTTCCAGACTGGAGTGACTGAAGTACTGCTTTTGCATCTGTCAGGAATACCACTGGTTGTGAAAAATACCCTGTATTTAGTAGTTTCTCTACCGCTATCTTGATGGCTTGAACTTCTGCATCATAGTTGTGACAGTGCTTTCCTGTTGGTAATTTGGCTGTATACCTGGTATTATTAGGATACTCAATGTACACTCCCGCATCTCTGTTTCTGACTGCGCTTTCTGCTGACCCATCTGTGTAAACACGGACCCAAAGGTTCTGCGGGTATTCATCATCAAGTAGACTGAGGGTGGCTGTTTTGCGCTGCACACTGTTTTGTTCTTCCTTGTCAAATACCCCTTTCACTTCAGTCTTGATGTGTATTGGAAACTTATACTCCTCTCTCCAGGGGGTCCGTTCTGGGACAGCATTTAAGGATCTATCAGTTGCAGGTAAATCAGTGGTTTGTCTGCCGAGCCTTTTGGCCTCGTAAATAAAACTACTTCTCTTTAGTCGTCCCAAAGCTAAATTTTGGAATCTTTCATTCATAGGGTGACTGGGCATGCTAAGAAACTTTTCTGCTCGGAAAAGCATCTTGGTGTCTCTGCGTTCACTCAGTGCTTGGGTCATCCCCATTTTCTCCATCACAACTATAGGTGTTGATTTCATACTGCCTGTGGTAACCCTGAGTGCTCGATTTTGCACTTTGTCTAATTCTTGCAATGTGGTTTTTGATGCCAAACCCCATGCTGTTGATCCGTATTCAAGATGTGGTCGAACACTTTGTTGGTAAACTTTCCTAAGTATTTTCCCGCTAGCACCCCATGTGGTTCCACTTAGTTTTCTCAGAATGGCTACCCTCCTTCTGGCTTTGGTTGCTGCCTTGTTGATGTGTTAATCTATCATCAAACGTTACGCCGAGGTATGTGATCTCTTTATCCTCTCTCAGGGGTACTCCATTTATGTGCATGGCGCCTGATTTTTGTTTAGGAGAAAGGGTAAAGAGGGTGGTGCTACATTTGCCTATGTTGATGCTGACACACCATTTGTCGGCCCAATCAGCCATTGCATCTATGGCTCTTTGTAGCAGTCTGGTGGCCACTGTTGCATGTTCATTTGTACACCAGAGTACCAGGTCATCAGCATACATTTCCTTCGAAGTCGGAGTACAGCTGCCCATGAGGCAGGGAAATGAAAAACGGTTGTACACGCAAAAATCAGGTCCAGGTGAAAGCCAAAAGTCCAAGTGGACGATTAACCGGGACCTTCCACTGGAATTCACAGCCGGTGTTCGATAAAAAAAAAAAAAAAAAAAAATCAGCACACATTGCAGCTTTAATTCCATGGGGTAGTTCAGAAAGCAGGTCGTTGATATAGACTAGGAAGAGTGTGAGGGACATGACACCTCCTTGTGGGACGCCAGGGCGCAGCAAAACTTTCTTACTCTTTAAGTCCATCTATCTGTACTCGGGATCTTCTGTTATACAAGTATAATATTAGATGAAACTAAGAGAATCTCTTTGAAATGCGCAAACATACATTGTCATTCATTACTAGCAGTTTCTCTGAGACAGATCTTCTTCTTTGTATTTACCAGCTGTAAACTCTAGTGGAAAGTTCTGGTTGTTCGTCCACTTCTGGACTGCAGTCCTGTTCCAGAACCTGAGTGTTGCGTGTGCATCCATTTGACAGATCTGACATATTTGTGTTCCTTGCCTCTCAGGCAGATGCACTCCGACTTAGAAGGAAGCTCCTAATTAGTCAACTCTTATGACATGCTTTTGGGTAGGCAGTGGCTGTGGGTCTATTCTTTTTTCCCCTATAATAGGGCCCCGGGGGAGGGGGGGTGGGGGGTTAGCTAAATAATTACAGAACTTATCAGTGGCCACAAGAAACAAAGGCAAACATTTCTTTCTTTCTTTCTAACAATACTGACATAAGAATTTTATAGTTAGTTTTAAGTTTATCAATAAACATTAATAATTACTGACTTATAGCACCATACACTCTGAAACATGGTCTGTAGACAAAAAAGATGAGTAGAATTTTGAGGCATTTGAAGTACGGTGTTATCACATAATGTGTGTTTATGCAGAAAAAAGGTCTGATTGTAAGTTCTTGAAAACATTAGAAATTGTTTTGACTTTTTGTTAGTACCATTGGTTTGTGAAAACTCCTGAGTATTAAACTGCATGTCCAGTACACTGGTATTAAGATTGGATTTCCATGTCAATTGCAGGGCCCCATTTTATAAGGAAGAAGGATCAGATCTACTGCTCCCTAACAAAGGATGTCGTAAAACGACTAATTATGTGTTGCTGACATCTGATTTGTTGAGCCGAAATGTTGCCACCAGGCTGTAAAGCACACAAAAAACATGCCAACCACCTTTTTAAGGACTAACGAAGAAGAACTTGGGATTGAAAACTAAAAAAGGGTTTGCATGGAGTGAGTGAGTGAATTTAAACCCCCGTAGGACTGCATACTGAGCTAATCCCCCAGGTAGAAGTCACAAAATCCCTGTTCACTTGTATGACTAGGTATTACGATTTGTATGCCCCGCTCCCTTAAACCAGAAATGGAGATTGCCTGGTTACGGAAGGGATCGGCGGTCTCTGAAATTGTGTGCATTTCTATACTAGTTATGACAGGTTATATTGTGGCACCCAGTGGTTATGAAATAACCTAATGTCAAGTTGGGTTTGGGACTAATGGACTAAAACAAAAAGCTTACATCAAAGGGAGATTAATATAAATTTCTAAATTTCCTCCCTCACTGGTACCAAAGTCAAATCTCGATTGGGACTACTGCAGAGCTCTTCTCTCCCTCTCCAAACTCATAAATGAGGGAATGTGTGCAAAACCATTACTAGAGCTTCACATCTGAGTACAATCATATTAGGCTTTAATCAGGTCATGCATGATTCATTGGAGCAGTTTGAATGCCAGACTTTCATGTGAGAGATCTTGGTTTTGATTCTCAGAAAGATCATGCCATAAAAGAAGACAAATTATGAGTGTGCTGAAATCAAATGTGTTAGGTCAAAAGGTGCAGATGCTACAGCCTAGCTGTAAACTGCAACACTGTGGTTACCACCCTTGTAAAATGAATGCTCAATAAGAAGACAATATAAAAATAAAATAGCTATAGAGTATTTGAAATGGTGATTTTATCTTATATGCATTTTTTTTAGTCCAGTAGTTTATGCTTCAGAATTGATTTGCTGTGCTGTTTTAAAGTTACCTAATAACGATTGTGTTTTTTGTTTTCAGTATATGAGTGAGAAGATTGGCGGTGCCAAGGGGACAGAACTTGATGATGAATTTGTGGAAATGGAAAGGGTAATAATTTTCAGATGTATTGAAAGATATATGCAGGAGAATTGTGGTTGCATAATGGATAAGGCATCCTGTTAGAAACATAGTGGTCCACTTTCATTTTCCACTGTTGAGCTCAGCTTTAAATTTGTCTCATACATTTTGATGTGTTTTTGAGAATGATCTGAGATAAAGGAAGCTGATCACTTATTAAGCTGTGACTTGATATATGTAAAGGCCTAACTCTTAACATTCCAGTGCCATATTTGTCATTAAATTCTCTTTTTGTCTTTCATTTCCTAATGGAGCTTAACCAATTCACACAATGGATGCAGAGGTATTTGAACCATATTTGGTGGTACACCAGCACCAGGGCATCCTAGAAACAGGTTTCCGATCAGAAGCCTGGTCAACATAGGTAGGATCTATGTTTTCTTTGAAGTCAGAGTGCATCTGCCTGAGAGTTGAGGAACCAACAGTTTGCACACACAGGAGCTAGATCAGTAAAATGGATGTACACTCGAGCTCTAGAACAAGGCTAAAGCAAAAGTGGATAAATAACCATAAATGTTGAATGCTTGATGAAATACACACAGACTATTAGCTTTGGTCAAAGTATTTAACAGCCTGGCCAACATAGATTGTTGTTGTTGTTGTTATCGATCCAGCGGCGCATGAGCTTTCGCCCTTTGGCCCAATGCCATGTAGTGGAATTTGCATGTTTTCACAAGCTGTTCTTTTCCTCCGTACAAGGTGTTCCACTTGTCTGGTCTCGGAGGGAGTAGCGTTCTTCTTGTCTCACTGAGTTTTGGGCACTCAAAGAGATGGTGTTCAACAGTTTCGTAGGGGTAGTTACATAGCTGGCACTCTGGGGAGTGTTGTGGCTGTATTCTGTTTAAGTGTCCATTGAGTGGAGTATGTTGCGTTCTAAGTCTGAAGATGGTGGCCTGGTCCCTTCTTGTTAGATGGTTAATGCTGTCATTAGGATCAGGGCCAGACATATGTCTATAAACCTCTCTTCCAGTGTCTCCCATGGCCCATCTGTTCAACCAAGTCTCTTTGTTTATAGCTCTTATCAGTGTTTTTGCTGTCTGGAGGGTTGTCGCTGTAGGTGGTTGTTCTTGTGTTGCTCCTTTCTTTGCCAGTCTGTCAGCTCTGTCATTACCTGGTGTGCCGGAGTGACCTGGAATCCACTGCATCACTATTCTGATGTTTTATGAGGTAATAAGCTGATCGGCATCCAGGATTATCTTGGCTATGTCAGTTCTGCAGCGTTCATTGCCCTCCAGAGCTTGAAGGGCAGACATTGAATCTGTGAAGATGACAATATTTTGGACCTTTGAGGGGTAAACATCCATTACAGTCTTTAGGTGGTATACTGCTGTTTCCAGTGCAATTATTTCAGCTTCATAGTTTGAACAGAATTCCCCGCATGCATCAAAAATCTCTTCAACAGATCCATCGGGATAACCTATGTAGATTCCGTAACCTGCTTTAATGGTAGCTTTAAATGCTGATCCATCAGTATAGACATGTATCCATTCTTGGGGGTAAGAATCAACGGTCTTTAGTGATGAGTTCATAAGAGCGATTGGGTCGGACTGTTTGGTTTCCTCGCCTACCAATTTAGTTTGGACTTCTGGAGCTTTAAAGCGAGCATGTGGTGGTAGGTTTTTTGCAACATTCTGAATTCCTTGACGTCTTTCTGGGAGGTGGTATCTGTCCTGAATTTCATTAACACAGTGTAAAACCGATTTGTGCTTTATTCTTTGTTTGGGTTCCCAGTTTTCTACAAGATGTCTATTAGGATGGTTACGATTTTTCCTAACGCATCTTTCATAAATTTCTAAAGTGGCTTTTTCTCTCCGCAACCCGAGGGGTTCCACATTTGTATGGATTTCACATGCAGCAGTTGGTGTAGACTGCATAGCTCCGCAGATTAATCGGAGGGCATTATTTTGTACTCTGTCAAGAGTCTCTAGGTTAGTTTTGGAACAAGTTGTAAGCAGTGAGTTGTTGTACTCTATCACAGAGCGAACATATCCTAGGTATAAGCCCCTCAGAGTTTCCTTGTCTGATCCCCAGGATGTACCTGCAAGTCTCTTTAATAACTGTAACCGCGTCAATGCCTTATTCCTGATGTTTTCAATATGGTTCTTGAGGCTGAGCTGCGGGTCAAGTGTGACTCCAAGGTATGTGGGATGCTCTTCTTTCATCACTTGGTGTTTGTCTAACCTCAGGTTAATATTCTTCCTTGCTACTTGGTGGCTTTTGGTAAAGATTGTGTAGACCGTCTTTGCACAGTTAATCTTGAGTTTCCATCTTTGGCAGTAATCATGCAGTCTTCTAAGGTCTCCATTCAGTCTTTGGGCTCCACTTTCCACATTTTCATGACTCTGCCATATTGCTAGGTCATCAGCGTACAAGGCTTTTTCGGCCTTGATTTGTTCTGGCAGGTCATTGATAAAGATTAGGAATAGTGTACAGCTCAATGATGAGCCTTGTGGCAAGCCCTCCTCCAAGACTTCTTTAGAAGAGATTGCGTTGTGCATCTTAGTCTGGATTGTTCTATCTATCAGGAAGTATTTCACCCAGTTATACAATCTGCCATGTATTCCTATGCTCATCATCTTCATCAGGAGACCTTTTCTCCATACTCTGTCATAGGCCTGCTGGAGATCGACAAAGACTGCCACTGTGTGTTTCTTATTCTGGAAGCCATCATGTATTCTTTGTGTCAGTCTGAACAGCTGGTCTTCTGTGCAGCTGTTGGTTCTGAAGCCTGCCTGTTCATGGCATAGAACACCAGAACTCTCAAGGAACCAATATAAGCGCCTGTTTATCATTCTTTCTGCAACTTTGCCCAAGCATGATGTTAAGGATATCGGGCGGTAGCTTTTGGGGTCATCTGGAGGCTTTTTGGTTTTAAGGATGGGGACGATATATGCATTCCTCCATGCCCTTGGAAGTTTGCTTGACCTCCAAGTTTTATTAATAAGCCTGAGAACTACTTCTCTCCCAGACCGGCCAAGATGTAGCAGCATTTCGTTGTGGATCTTATCTGGGCCTGGAGATTTTCTAGGTTTTAATTTCTTCAGGGCTTGCTCTAGTTCATCCATGCTAAATTCGTTTTCAAAAAGGGAGTCGCTGGCTGTTGGAGCTCTCTCTTGTTTCTTCAACTGAGAGAGCTGTGTTCTATTGAGTTCTGACAGCTTACCTGCTCTGTTAACTGAGGCAAAATAATGATTGAAATGTTCTGCTTTCTTCTTGTCTTCAGTGATTGTCTTACTCCCATCTGTCACTGGTTTTGGGTTCACCCTTCTACTTTCTCCGGAGAGATTTTTAACTAAAGTCCATGCTTTATTTCCATTCTGTCTAAGGTCTAAGTTGGAGCAAGTTTCTGTCCATTTATCTCTTTTAGCCTTATTAACTACAAGCTTTACTCTGGCACATGCTTTATTGTATTGGATCTTTGCTTCTGTTGAACGTGCAGTTTCGAGAAATATTCTTGCTTTATTCCTTTCAGATATAGTATTTTGAATTTCTTGATTCCAAAAAGGTTTATATGCCTTCCGGCTGCCCCTTGGGATGGCTTTCGACGCTGCATTCAGGATTGCTTGTGTTATGTCTTCACAAAAAGTTTCCACACAGCTGTTGTCAATTCTTCCCAGGAGGCAGTCAGATGTTTCCTGAAATAGTTTCCAGTTTGCTTTTCGGAAATTCCAACGGCTTCTCTGCTTGAAGCGTAATTTAGGGGTGGTGCTTACAGTTGTGAGTATAGGTTTGTGGTCACTTCCTATGTCGTCCAGGACTTGGGGATAGCTTGCGTCTGCTAAGTCGGATGAGCAGATGGTCAGGTCTGGTCTGCTGAGAGATAGGTGGGCCCTGTGTAACAGTGTAGGTGTAGACTCTGTGTCCTGCAGCACTAATAGGTTAGTTGTTTCACAAGTATCTTCGATGTACTTCCCTGTGCTATTGTAGTCAGGGTAACCCCAACGTGGCGAGTGTCCGTTGAAGTCACCAACAAGAAGGGTTTTATGGTACTGTGTCTTGTATAGTTCTGGTATGTTGCATGTTGTCTGAGGTGGGCTGTACACGTTGTATATCGTATATTTGCTTCCATTGTGCCAGATAGTTGTTTTTTGCACATCTGTAGGGTGAGATGTCGACAGCATTGTTACATCTCCTTGTATGTCATTTCTGATATAGGTCACTATGCCCCGGCAGTCATTGCACTTACAGGCATAACTAGTATATCCAGTGAGATGCAGATCAGAGTCTTTATGCAGGGTTTCTTGTAGGGCAGCCACGTGTACCCTGTGGTTGTTTAGCAGTTTGGCAAGTTCAAGTTTCTTATTTCTTATTCCACAGATGTTCAGCTGCAGAATATTGAGCATCTGTGTATTTTTTGCTGTGCTGTCTGAGTTCTTTTTGCTCTCCCTCCCACTCTTCCTCCTCCTGGGGTGTCTGTTTTCCCTATTTATTTCAAATTTTCCAGTAGCCAATTTTTCGCACATGACAGCCTGGTTTCCCACTGTCTGGCGCGGGCCTTGATAGACGAGGCGACGACCGATCTCGTATGTATTCTTAAATTTTGACATATTCATGGCATTGTGATGCTGGGGTGTCTGTGGATTACCTACCTCCCCGGGCAGCAGCTAGAAATGCCCTGTACCAGTTCTAAAGGAAATATGGGTTGTGTTTCTGCCTTTCCCTTTAACACGTAGCTAAGGTGGGGCTCACAGCGTTCTCATTCCCCGCCACCAGATTGCCTGCAGGTTTCGCTGAGCTCTTCATGTCTCTAAGCATGGCCTAAGCATGAGTAGTTGGGGCAACTGGATCGTCACGTCCTGAGTCCCTGTGCCTTCACGATAGTTTCCGGTATTCAGGGGGGTTAGCATACTTGTTTCCATTCCTAAGACTGTTCAGCACACCTCTGGTTCCTTCCCTCCCACAGGGGGCAGTACGGTGTGGTGCACTGGGTTTATTATCGAGGTTTGCTCCTCTAGATCCATTGTGTTTTGCCTGGGGATTCGCACCCCCAGTTACCGGGACTACCTCGGGGAGGCTGTGACTCTTCGCCACGCACAATGGTCTTGAGGTAAGAGAGGTTTTGCTAGGTCAAGAGGCTGACACCACAATGGACGCTCCTTTCGTGAACAGATATTCACTAGACCTAGGGTGAAGTAAGGGGAGGGAACCCACTACCCACAACACCAACACTTCTTACCCCCTGCCTCTCGAGGCTCAGTCCCGGCCAACATAGATAAGGTCAGTTGTTTTTCTTCAAAGTCGGAGTGCATCTGCCTGAGAGGTGAGGAACCAGTAGTTTGCACACACGTGAGCTAGATCTGTAAAATAGATGTACACTCAACACTAGAGTCCTGGAACAAGGCTACAGAAAAAGTTGTTGATAAATAACCATGTCTTTCTTTCAGAGTTTACATCAGGTGATTGCTAAGAAGAAGATAATTTACGCCAAACCCTTAGTAGACTTCAGAAATAGTGTATGACTGCTGTCCAGTCAGTTTAAAATATGTGTTAACACTACGAAGATATTAGATGCTTGAGGAAATGATGTTGAATAAAAAATCAACATCGTAGCACTCAGAACATTCCCTCAAGTTCTGCGTCCCCGTCTTCAGCAGCAAGTGAAGAGTTACAGTTCTAATGGTACTAGTAACTGTCTTATTGAACATCCATCTCACCTTTCCCTTGAGTGTTGAGGGTCGGCCAGATACCCTGGAAACTCCCCGCAGCGCCATTCTCCGAAGAGTCTATTTATATTTGAGCCTTTGTACTGTTCACTTGCTCCCAAAGGGCCCTTAAAACATCTAGCTTGTCATACATCAGTTCACCACCAAGTGGTGCAGAACCAGCCAGTCTATCTGTCTGCTTGTTTCCCAACACACCAGCATTCCTAGAGAAAATATCCAAAGGACACTAACTACCCAGGACCTCTGAAGTGATGCTTGCCACTCTGCATGGAGTATGCCTGTCTCCACCTTTCTCAACATACTCTGTTAGTCAGTTACTATTACAGCATGTCTATACTGCTGATTTTAAATCCAGTGGAAGGCAGCAGTGACTGCCTCCACTTGCATTCTCAAACTAGATGTTGTGACAACATTTGCCAGGCTTTGATGTACGCAGACCATAACCTTAGTTTTTTCAGTTTCCTTTTTCTCAGAGTAAAATAGATAAGACATTTTAATGTACTGTTGTAAGACTTTTTCAGTGCCAGAAATTTTTCTCACGCTTGATTTACTGTTTAGTCCTAGTCGAGGTTTCAGATTCACTGCAATCGAGTCACCACATACTTGTTCCGTTCCTATGCAAGTGAAAATCATATGAAATGTTTCTCACTGTCCCATTTGAAAAACAGGGAAAAAAAGAATTGTCCTCACACAATCAAGAAATTTTTGCACACAATAATTGTATATGGCAGTTGCTAGAAGTGCCAACAGTGAACAGCAGAATTGCAGTCTGTTGTTGATGGAAGTATTTGGTAACAATAAGATGGCTTTACACACGTAAAATTATTGCATAAGGTATTTCACAACCCACACGTAAACCGACTACTGACCATTTTGAATACCACGACACACCTGTTGCACAAATGAAAGGCACTCCAAATGAAAAACACAGCTCACAGGGCTGCACAAAGCACTAAACTCAGTAGCTCAGGCAGCGAAACCATTGACTACTGTCCATATATGGAATTGCATTAGGAAAGCACTGTCGGTATAAAAAATAACTTAGTATTATTAGTATAACTCCTTTTTTACTTTCAGTCATTTCCAACACAGATGATCCTACATGCTAAACTAACTGTTTGGCAGCTCTTCATTTTGTAGTTTCCTACAAATTGTTTTAAGTTATTATCCATGTTTTGTTCCATGCAATAATGCTGTTTTGACATTATAATTAAATACTGTAAGTTAAGTATTAGGTAACAAAGATTTTTTTTTTTAAACTACCACAAAATTACTTGTGCCATGAGATGACTTACTACTCCACTTTTTCTTCTTTGCTACCTAAATGGATGTATGACTGCACCTCTGTAAAATTGCTACTAGAGATTTACCTGGTAAAAAGTGAAGCAGGTCAGTGGATGGGTTTATTAACCAGGGACAAATTAAACCTCTGACATTCTTGTGGCAATGTTCACTACAGGATTACTGTAACCTTTAATTCTCAAACATTTATCTTTATGACTGCACTTGTATGGCAAGCTATTCTAAAATGATGGTTTTGTTGTTGTTTTGTTTCAGCGAATTGATGTCCTAGGGAGATTGGTGGATGATCTTATCAACAAAACACATGAATTCCTTCAGCCAAACCCAGGTGACAAAACTGCAGAGTAGCTTATTATTACTGCTCTACCTAGAAGACATAATTAGACACAACCCTCCCCCCCCCCTCCCCCCTCCCATCCTTTTCTATGCCTTGATAAGCATTGGGCCTATGTCAGGCCAAAACATTTCCATCTTTAGGCTGGGCCAAACTGGTTTTACACATCAATTTGTGTGGGAAATATCATGTGAAACTATAGTAGACACTGAAGTCCACTGCAATAACATTCTAACATATAAGAATCAGTGTGCTCATTGAATGTTGAATTAAGAATCAACATCACAGCACTCTGGACACCACCATTAGCGCTCCGTCCCCATCTTCAGCAGCAAGCAAAGAGTTACAATTCTGATGGTGCCAATAACTGTCTGATTGTATATCTGTCTCACCTTTTCCCTGAGTGTGTGTGCTGATTTTGTGTAGCTAATCGAAATCCTAGGTCTGCAAGCTGGCTTCTAAAGGCATAGCTTATGACGAATGAGAGACTAAATATAGGGAAGTGATATTGAACAGTCATGAGCAGGACGTGCGATTTCTTTGGTGAGCCTAGTACTAAATCACCATGTATTGACTTTGCATTAATAGAAGCTTCCTTGGATGGTAGGAAATGCTCATCTTCCGCCTTTGCCTTCTTTTGCGGTTCTGACAAGCATTACATGGCTACTCTTGACCAGCCTTTTGGAAGACAAAGATCACCACACAGCAATGAGACTGCAATGTCCCACAAAGACATGTTAATTTTCCTGTTATTAATTGCAGTTATATTCATCAGTATGTTATAACTGTAGCTTGTTAAACAAAGGTTATCTGTTATGTTCTGCACAGAGACTAAATAATACTTTGTGCTCGCCATAATGTATCAATTTTCTAATTCAGTGATGGTCTGTTTTCACATGATTATGCAGCTACTCCTTATAATCCTTTCAGCTTCATCATAAGTTTTGTCCATGCGTGGCTAGACAGGTAGTCTTCTACCCACTTTTGTCAGTTTATTCTGTGCAGTCAGTATCACACTTTGCTTTTATTTCTAGAAGAAGTGGCTTCATAATTTTAAAAATCTACCACAGTGGGGATTCGAACCTCTGAGGACTGGTAGCTATTGCAATGTAACGGCTCCCAATTCATGAAGTAATCTTAAATGGGGTAGAATTTAGACTAATTTGGACTGTTAAAACTTAATTCTCACAGTTTGTTAGTTGCGTATCCTTTACAGGACATTGCAGAAACAACCCCAGCATTTTTCGGCTGCTGTGGTTTTTCTAGGCAAATTTTATATTTAGTAGTTTGCCATTGCTGCTGAACGGTCAGCTCTCGGTACCACCGCGAAACCAGCGTAAGACAAATCGTCCGCAGCTGGGATTGAACCCGGCATCACAAAGTGCATTCGCAACGCCTAAGCCACAGATGCCCTCAATTCCCACAGTACAGCACCATAATACATTCAGTGCTGTGTCACTAAACAAAAATGGTAATTTCCCTTTTGTGGGCTCTAAGCCCTAATGGGGGGGGGGGGGGGGGGGGGGGGCTCCACTGCCTCTTTAATAAGCTTGTCGTTCAGGGTGACTAATTAGAGATGGTATCCTTTAAAGTCAGAGTGCTTCTGCCTTAGAGGCAAGGAACCAACAGTCTGCATATAGATAAGCCAAATTTGTGAAACAGATTTTCACACAAAACTCAAGTTCTGGAATAGGACCAATGTCCCGAAGTGGACTAAAAACCAGAACTTTCTTCCGATGAATGCTAAGTGGAAAGATAGAAATTATCAGATTATGGTGATATCCTTACAATTTTGCTGTGTGTTAGAATTAATTGTAATATAATAATTTCAATCCTTTGTTTGTAGCATCCCGCGCAAAAATGTCAACACGCAATGCAATTTCCAAAATCAGAGGCCAGGAGCAGAAGATTTTGTACCCCCAGCCAGAAGGAACTCTGGGAGACTATATGGTCAAACATGGCACCGACCTGGGGGAGGATTCATTGTTTGGTCAGTTGATATTGACATTATCATTTGTGGTATATCATTTTACTGAAATGTTTCAGTATCTTCTTCTAATCAGTTTCTCTATATAGGATCCGGAGTCCCGTTGTAGGGAAATCAAGAATAGACCCACTGCCTCCCCAGCAAGCATGTCGTAAGAGTCGACTAATTAGGGGTTTGCTTTGAAGTTGGACTTCATCTGCCTAAAAGGCAAGAAACCAGCAGTCTGCATACACATAAACATAAGTCAGATCTGTAAAATAAAAGTGCACCCAACACTTAGTGTCTGGAACAAGACAATAAAGTCCAAAAGAGGGGAGGGGCATAGAGCACAAGGTAGACCAAGAATAGGATGGAAGGATAACATCGGAGAAACAGTACAGTGTGTCCATGGTCAAGATGGCCAGAAGAGCAAGAAGCAAAACCTTATATCTTACACAACACCCAAAGTGGTAAAAGAGGAAGTGAAGAAGAGAAGAAGAAAAAGTTCCTAACTATTTCCAATTTATTGCATAATTTGTCTTAGGGTCTCTGTCGAGAAAAGATGTTTGAGGCGTACATTTTTCCTCTGAGATTCAAATTATTTCATTTATTTTCAGATGATGTTATTTAACTCTTTCAGCTCCATAAAGTTTTGTACAAAAATCATTATTTTTTTTCCATTGAATTCTGTCATGAAAATTCTGACTGCTTGCTGTATTGTAGGGATGAATAATGAATGAACTAAATCTGTAGTTGCCATATTTATTTAGCATACAGTTACCAAAACTTAAAAATAAGAAGAACCTGATGTGATGTTGGAGACCTCTACGGATTAGTAAGTAACACATTATGTGTTGTTTGGGATAGAAAGAGTTAATGTTGAAAATTAACTTACCGTTGAAATTAAATAATTGATAATGACAATAATTAATTCCAGCTTTCATAACTTTTTCTCATTTCACAGGAGGCTGTTTAATAGAGGCAGGGGAGTCATTTAAACATCTGGCTGAGATTAAGTACAATTTAGAAGACAATGTGAAGCAAAATTTCTTGGACCCTCTGAACCAGCTGCAGAACAAAGACCTCAAAGAAGTAAATGTAAGAGAAAACTGAATACTTTGTCTACTGTTATATCATTTAGTTATCTGGCTGATTTGTTAATAGTTAGTTCATTAATTAGTTGACAGGTCATATGGAAGTTTAAGCTACACTTGTAATCAAGTTGACAGCTACATAAAAATAAAAGGGAAAATGTAGAGAAATCTGTAATAGGAAATGAAATAGTCAAGTTGAGTTTAAAAATCCTCCTGTGGGTTGCAGAGCCCCATTGTGGGGGAAACAAGAATAGACCCACTGCCTCCCAACAAGCGTGTCGTAGGAGTCGACTAATTGGAAGCTTTCTTTGAAGTCGGAGTACATTTGCCTGAGCAACAAGGAACAAATTACTCCACACAAATAAGCCAGTAAAATGGATGTACATGCAAAACTCAGCCCCTGGCATAAAACCAGGACTTTCCACCAGCGCTTACAGCCAGTGGAGAAAAAAAGAGGAGTTTAAAAAATAAAAGGAGCTCAAAACTATGTTTATAATAGGGAGCTAAGAGCTATATATTTTATTGGGAGCTGAAAGCTACACATATTAAAAAGAAGTTTCAAGCTCCTGCACTACCCAGTGGGGGAGGGGGGGGGGGGGAATAAGAATAGAAACACTGCCTACCCACACACAAAAAAGCATGTCGTAAGAGTCAACTAAATTCGGAGCTTCCATCGAAGTTGGAGTGCATCTGTCCGAGTGGCCAGGAACAATTAACTGCACACACATAAGCCGGTAAAATTGATGTACACTTAAAACTCAGGTCCAGGTACAAAGCCAAAGTGTAAATAGACCAACGACCCGGACTTTCCACAGAAGCTCACAGCTGGTAAACACAGAAGAAGAATAAGAAGAAACTACTGCACATATAAAAAGGCAATTTAAGCTACTGCACATACAATAAGGACTTTTTAAACTACACCTATAACAGGGAGCTTAAAGCTGCAAATATGAAGGGGAATTTTACGCTGTACATATAATGGAGCTGCAATTTCATAAATAAAGTGTATAGATAAGAAGACTGTATTAGGAAATCAAATAATTCGTCATCATCAAGTACCTTGCAGACTGGCGTGGGTGATCATGCCTCTCCACAGTTTGCGATCTGCAACTGCATATATCAGTTCAATATAAATAAGTCGAGTAGAATTAATAAATAAATTTTTTTTAAATTTACAGCACCACCGGAAAAAATTATCAGGCAGACGATTAGATTTTGATTGTAAGAGAAGGAAAAAAGACAAAGGTAAGAGAAATAACAACTTTTTCTAGAAGATAATTTTTTTTTTTGGTTGTGTGTTACATGTATTTAGATAGTTATTTTATGTATACATAGACTAATGTGTACCATGTATATATTTCCTATTACCTATTAATTCTACAGCATATATTCAGTTATTTCCTTTTTTTTTTTCCTGTCTCAGATTATTATACATTTAGAATTGTTCTATATCTTTTATGTTTCCACTTGAAAATAGTTCAGGTGGTTTAGCTATTTTTTATTGTTTCATTTATAATTGCATGCTAAGTAAGTAGCAGAGTCACAATCAATAAATTGTATAAACTTTAAGAAAAACAAAGTTACACACAGTATGAGCAATTCTAAACATTTTTAGTCAATCAGTTAATCACAGTTCGGTCTGACTTCATGGCAAATGCATCACCAACTAATTGCTCTGTTTCTGTGACAGCAAAACCACACAGAAAGCCCATCACTGCCCCTAGAAAAAATTCTTTAAAAAATTATAACAAGCTGCATTCTCAGCAAAGCCAAAATGACGCAATTACATTAAATGTATAAAACAGCCATCAAAGTGCCAACACAAAATGTCTGTATTAAAATTGCAGTTCATCTTTAAAACTGTGTTACTGATTGCTGTATACAAATCAAGAAGATGAATGGCAGGTTAATTTGATTTCTGTAAGTTAATACTTGTTGCGTATAGATGTGTGTATTCAAAAGCCTTTAGATAGGATGCCAATATTATTCAGATAATTTATTTTAGGGTAGTTTTCTTATGCAGTTAATACAATAGCAGTATCTGAGAGTAGCTTTTACAGGCAGTTAGCATGTTAACAGTTTCTTATGGTAGATTGTATATGTTTATATAGTTAGCATAACACCAGATCTTCTGCTGTGTTCACACTTAACAGGGAAGTTGATATGCTGTGTTGGGGTCTACAGCTAGGCTGTGATATCAACACCTTTCAGCCCAGCACTCTGATTTCAGTAAATTGTTGATTAGTCACCTATTATGACAAGCTTGTTGAGGAGCAGTGGATCTCCCCCCCCCCCTCCCCGGCTTTTAAATCTACATGCGGATAAGATCAGATTTATCGTGGCTTATATGTTTATATAGTTAATATTATAGCATGTCTTATGGTATGTAATATGTTTATATACTTGTGTCCGTAAAGTCATGGTGCACTTTTGGTGTTAAGGACGTCAAAAGTGCGCCCTGACTTTACAAACACAGTGCAGTTATTTCTTCTTCTTGTTTTTGTTCACCGGCTGTAAACTCCAGCGGAAACTTCCTGGTTGTTTGTCCACCTCTGGACTTTAGTCTTGTTCGAGAACCTGAGTGTTGTGTGTACATCCGTTTTACAGATCTGTCTAATGTGTATGTAGGTTGTTCGTGCTTTGCCTCTCAGGCAGATGCACTCCCACTTTGAAGGACCCCCCCCCCCCCCCCCCCCCCCCCCCCCCCCCCCCCCCCCCCCCCCTTATTTTTCCACCCCAGCTAGTCAACTTTTATGTCATGCTTATTGGGGAGACAGTGAGTCTGTTCTTGTTTTCCCAACAATGGGGCCCGGTAACCCACATGAGGTAAATAGTTATATATTATTGGATCTTCCCTGGTGGAGCCAGACTTTTTTTTTTTTTCAAAAGTGACTGTGGCTCCCAGGTCGACCCAGCCTTGAGTGGGTACCGGGTGCAGTCTCAGGAAGTAAAGGTGGCTGGCATGATGCTGACCACATCACCCATCTTGTGCCGATTGGTCTATAAAATATAGGTCTAGCCCTATATGCCTAAAGACGTGGAAAAGGGTCCTTTCCAAATATTGGATCTGATGGTCGATAATAAGTTATACAATTGTAATCATAGTAAATTTGATAATAGATAATATGTTTGTATAGAATAATAAGGATTCTAAGGATAGATAATGTGTACCGTTTATGCCCGGCTCTCTAGCGTAGCTGGTTAAACCTGACTTTGCAGTGACCGGGTGACAAACTCCTTGTGGTCCGGGTTCATTCCCGGGGGTAGGCAGAAAAGCCACTCCCCCTCCCTCCCCCCTCCCCTAAGATTTACGGTCTAAATCATGGAATCAAGGCTGAAGGGTTGAGATATCCATCTTACTGAACCAAAGTGTTAACAACTCATGGTTTCTGGATATTTAAAAAAAATACTGTTAATAATGGCAGATCTGATGGTGGTTAATATGTTTTGTGTTGAGCTAAGAACTGACATCTTAGCACTCTGGACATTCCCATAAGTGCTCCATCCTCATCTTATTGATTATATATAATATCCTTCTTGCCTTTCCTCTGAGCTTTGGACCAGATCTCCTGGTCACTCTTAGTTGTAAGATTCTCTGCAGCCTGTAATAATCTGTTTGTGCTTTTGCATTGTTCTGTTGCTGCCAAAGGGCTTTGCCCTCATCTAGCTTGCATTGCATAAATTCCCAACCATTGGTGGAGAACCAGCCTGTCTCCATGTTCATTTCCCACCACTGCTGCATGTCCTGGAGAAAATAAATACAAGAAATTCGATATTATGTTTATCTACTTAATATTTTAGGGTGGATAGAATGTATGTTAGCAGTTTCTAAAAGTAGATGTTTATATTGTGTACTGGCAGTATTTGAGGTAAGATAGTCAATCTATTTAATTGGTAAATTTGAAGGCAAACATGTTATTTATACGGTTAGAATTTTAAAAATATATGTGGATTTACAGCTAGGAATATTCTTACTGCAAGCAAGTTAATTCAAATTTCTTTTAATAAATGAAGGCTTTAAAAAAAAAATAATGTTTTAATCTATTTAGTTCCATACTATATCATTGAATACATTCATGGTAGGTACCCTCTAAAAAAAAGTGATTAGCATGAGATTTAGTTCTGGTAAAACCACAGCTCAAAGTCTGCCTTTGGATGTTTATTTTCCTTGTTTAATTTTGCAGCAAGCACTGTTTATTTCTTTAAATCAGTGTTTTGTTTTGAAAAGTGTTTTTGTGTGTGTGTGTGTGTGCAGCATGTACTGAAATATTGTGGGGCAGTACATGGTGTGTTTAAAATATAAGTTTAATCAAATTAATTATTATTTGTTGATTGTTTACACAAAAATCTGGATGTGTTTGTGAACAAAAATATTTATACTTGCTTGTTGCTCTTATTTCATATCCTGTTTGATTCAACTGTAGGAGGTAAGGTCATCTAAAGTGTTATGTCCCATCCTGTATTGTATATCTATTTTGTATGAATTCTTTGAACCAGCTGTGCTGTGAAGTTCATAACACTTTGTTTTCTTTTTTTTTTTAAATGAGGCTAAGAACTGGAATTTAATAATTTATTGTTGATATTATAGGACATTTTTAAAATACTAGTGGGAAAACCGCTGTAACAGGTTACAGGGGACTTCACAGCATAGATTTTATAACCTTTGTATGTCCACTTGAAAAAACTGCATAATGTAACTAACATGCCAGAACTTTCAGTTAATGTTAAAGTCATTTAACCATTACCAGATTGTTATTATGATTTTCACACAAGTAACATACTAGCACTTAACTGTTTTCTTATTTGTGTATGATAGTTTGTCTCATTGCATCTTAAGACATGGTGGCCAGTGGATCAGTCTGAGATACAGTCTCAGATGTGGTGTTTTTATTTGTTTATTGATACTTTTCCGTCTTTCCTGATGATAGTGTTCCATTTGTTATAGGAAGATGTGGGTATCACAGCCTGTGGTGATGATGAGTATGATTAGCAAGACCAGCTCACGTTAAGAAGAATCTTTCAGAATAAGTGCCTGAAATTCCAGGACCATTGTTGCCGTCACATGCATTTATTCTTAGGCATTCAGCTCTGAACCTGTCTGCAACTCTTTTCTCCTTTTTCCCTGTTCCTTTCCAATTTTCCCCCCTCCTTGCAGTGTGATCCATGGTACTCTCTTCACTTTCATTACTACTATTGTTCATGTCTCGCTTGCACAGGTGTTTTTATGACTTCTTATAGTCCATACCACGTGGCATTGGTGGTCATATCTTTGTTCAAGGCCTTCTCACTCGTTTTCTTTCAGTCATTTCTGACACGGATGATCTCCCATGCCATGATGTCAAACTGTCTTCTGTCTCGGTCTTCCTCTGCTTCTCTTCCTCTCCAACTTTCCCACAGTCACAATGTACTCCATTTTTCTCCTTTCTATGACAGGACCAAAGAATGTAGATTGTCATCTTCATCTTCTTCGTGTTCACTGGCTGTAAGCTCCGGCATAAAGTTCTGGTTGTCCACCTCTGGACTTTAGTCTTGTTTCAGAACCTGAGTGTTGGTTGCACATCTGTTTAATAGATCTGACTTATTTGTATGCAGATTGTTGGTTCTTTGCCTCTCAGGCAGATGCACTCTGACTTCGAAGGAAGCCTCCAGTTAGTTTACTTTTGCGACATGCTTGTTAGAGAGGCAGTGGGTCTTTTCTTGGTCCCCCCCCCCCCCCCCCCCCACAATAGGGCCCCAGAACCCACACAGGGATGGTCTTCTTCTGATTTGGGCAGTCAGTTCTTTTTGTGGGTGAGATTCTTTCAAGATATCGTCCTTATTCTTGTGACTGTCCAGGGTGTTCTCATCATTGGTCTATACAAACCACATCTCCGCAGCTTCCAAATACTTTTTCACTTATCATCCTGCTGTTTGTGTTTCACTATTTATGATTCTCCAGTAATTTCAATTTATAACTGAATAGACCAATCTCTGTAAGTTTGTCAGTCAGTCAGTTTTAGTTTTCACAGTGGTATGAGTGTCGACCCTCAGAGGGAAATGGCAGACCACTGAGCCTATAACTTGCCTAGTAAAACCACAAATAGCCAACAAATGATGGGGTTGGTTTGTGACTCTCTGTGAATGAAATACAACTAACTTAACTTTGAGGCTTGTGCCAGTGTGGTCACAGCATTATTATTAACAGATATCAAACCAAACAAAAGGTAGAACCAGTCAGCTTTACAATACTACAAGCATAAACAACAAGTAAATGTTGTGGCTCGAAAGCCTTCATAAGCATATTAAATTGATCTTTTTCATGCAAAGAAGCTCAAACACTTCCATGCAGAAACTGAAAATTAAGGGGCAAGACAGGGTCCTGGAGACTAATTTCTTGGATATACCTGACAATTCCAGCATCGATAACACCCTGATGCAGTCACAGATTTTATGGACAGGTCACGTTGTCCGCTTGCCAGACCATCAGCTCCCAAAATCAATCTTGTATGATGAGATACAGGAAGGTAGACGCTTTCATGGTAGCCAGAGAAAATTCTTTAAGGCATTTCAGGATACGATGAAAGCATTAAAAAACATGACACTTGGAAGGCTGCTGTGTAAGACCAGGCTATGTTGCGAACATTTCTCTGAAGAGGGACAGCAACTTGCAAGGCAGCTGAACAGGGCAGCATCCTAAAAATACCATTATAAAAGGCCCTTTAACTACAGACAATCTTTCCATCGGTGACTGGGTCGCTCATTGGCCGGCTGTTGGGCGTCGGTCAAGACAGTATTTGGGCCTGTCTCCTTTGATTGCATCAACACTGCTGGAGTCCTTTTCAGGGCAACTTGGTGAAAAGCAATGCTTAGCCATTTTATATGAAGCACTATAAACCTAGTCACGGGTATAATCAAAAGCTCCCCGCTTTGGGAAATGCTGGTTGAACGTTACAATTTTTTAATTTTTTCGCAAAGCAAGTCAAGTCAAGACCTTTTTTTCTGCCTTCGTTGTCCTAGATCCTTCCAGACCCATATTGGGCTAATAAGTCAGCTCTGGATTTACACACAATCAACTATAGTTTCATGACAGATGAAAGAAAGATCAGTCCCCATCACTTGTGATGAATGAACAACACTTAGATCTACAATACCACAAATATGAACATAAATACACAAAATCACTAAACTGATGTATCTTTGATTGAAATCACATCCCTGCCTAGCCAATAGCAGATTTGACACGTGTGGACATCCAGTTTTCAGCTTACAGCATTATACACACACACACTTAGTGGCATAGAGCTAAGGGAACTTATTTACAAACAGTAGTTTAGATTCGGTCTGTCAACATCCCGCCGACTGCCTTTATTTCCCAGGACTTTAACTGGTACCCATTTAAGGCTGGGTCAACCTTTTGCCCTATCATGTTTGAAAAAATCTTGCTTCATGCGGATTTGAACCCCCAGCTTTGTATCTATATGCGAGCATCTAGCCGCTACACCAAGGATTGAACCTGGCACTTCAGCATTACGAAGCATGTTCAAAACACCTAAGCCACAGTTGCCGACATGCTGTGTTTGAGTGGCTGTTTCTGCCGATGAGTTGTAGTAATAGCTGGCTGTGGTATGAAAGATATTAAAGGGAACTTTCTGTACCATTTTTTCTTATATGGGGGACAAAACATGACCGTCATCTACAATTTCTGCTGTGCCAATTAATTAAAAAAAAAAAAGTCATTTTCTAGACTAAAACATGGTTCCATCTTAATATTAATGTCTAAAAGTGTCAAATAAAAAAGTGAACTCCTAATGTCATTATTAGAGCTGGTAATTTAAAAGCACTTAGTATTGTCTAACACTGTGAAATTTGAGTGAATGAAATACATTTGTATTAGTTACAACAACAAAAGTATGATGTTTCTTCTTTTTAAAGTTGGCTTTTAACACACTTGTACTTTGCCCACACAATCTGCCTGTGAAATTTTAAGTATTGCTATTAGAGTATACAGCTGTTATTGTTTTCATGAATGGCTTTTCATTATGTTAATTAATTCATGTTTTATTTGTGTGTGCTGTTGCAGAATAAAATATTTGTCTTATGTCATGAAATAGCTTCATATTGCCAGTTTTTAAAACTATGTTTAACTTTGCCTTTGTCCTATGTTTTGATATCAAGCTGCTGGAGGTAGTATGACAGCTTTTATTTATTTGTTTTGCTTTATGTGTGTTCCTTGTTATCAGGGCTTCTCAAACTGGCTTTATCTCCAAAAAGCATAATGAAATAACCGAAGACGGAACAATAGTATTATTAAAATAATTCCCATTATGTCTTTACATACTAATCTAGTAATCGCTACATTTATTTAATAATAATTGCTACTACAGACCTTATGTGTTAGTGTTCATGTGTGTTAGTGTTCGTGTATGTTTTTTCAACATAAATTAGTCTTTTATTTTTAATATGCATTCATTTGGGATGATTAAATGGATAGTTTAGCTACTTTCCATAGTAATGGTCCTCAGTTCCATCAACAGGAGAAGCAGTCAATTCAGTTTTTATGCCAGTCTATCCATATCAGGTTGACACTTTTGTGGGAAATCCAAAAAGTGGTGAAAGTAGGGGTGACAGCACTCAAGCTAATACCAAAGAATTAATCCAATGAACTGTGACTAAAAAGCTTAACGAAATGGGAAGGCAGAAAAACATGCACAAAACAACACAAATTGATGTTTCGTTCGGGCGCCTTTCTCGACACGAACTGAACTACACAACAGTAACAAAGAAGAGAGTACTTCAACCCCTATGGGGTCATGTGAGAAACTTTTTAATAAGGGTGATTTGAAATGAATGAAATAAAATAAAGGAAAGCTAAAAAAAAAAGTATTTTATAATAAAGTGACAATAGTAAAACTGTTTAGATGAAGGTGTGTTGGACATTGATGCCTCCTGGACTAAGAACACCGATGTGGATGAGGCGATTTTCCAAAGCGAGGCATGTGGTATGATTCATTCCAAATCACCCTTTTTAAAAAGTTTCCCACGTTATCCCATAGGGGTCGGAGTACTCTCCTTTTTTTTTTTCTACTATTGTATCGTTCAGTTCATGTCGAGAACTGTCGATTTGTGTTGCTGCTTCCCCTTTTTATTAAGCTTTTAAGTCACAGTTCATTTGATTAATTCTTCTGTGGGAAAGTAAAGGTACAGGCAATAAGTTCAGTTCATGTACCATTCCAGCCATATCAGAGTGGCAAAGACACTTCTATTGGAAATTAAATGTGCAAAGACATGGACAATGAACAAAACATAAGAAAATATACAGAAGAAAAGATTGTATTTCACCGAAATGAAAATGATTAAGTACAGAAATTCAGAAGAGATTAGAAATGAAAAAGAGTCACTGATAAAAATTTAAAGAAACAAATAAAATATTTTAGCCATGTTAAAAGCC